AGCCTGTCCGCCATTGCTTCAGGGCTGGAATATGGTGGTAGACGTAACTGGAAAAAACAAGTCTGCGCAGTGGGTAGACTATCTTCCTCCTGAAAACATAATGAAGTCAGTCAAAATTAATSAACTAGACGCTCTTAAAGGCGCTTACTCGGTCAGTTTTATGTTATGTCTGGGACCGGTTATAAGGATTTATCGGGYKKATAACGGTATTAACCCTCCGTACAACCAGACATTATTTCATGTAGTTCTTCATAGATAATGTTAAGTCTTTACCCTATCTATCTTGACAATCTGGAATCTTTGAGCGACGTCACCAATATTGGCTGGTAGCCTGGACCGTCCAGATACAAACCGCATGAAGAGGATTCGTTCCTCATTCGTGAATGACTCCAAAGTCTGCCATAACCATGAAATGTGCGTGTCTGAAGGGTCTATTTCTCGGTATCTATTACAAATAGAAAATCGATATTATCCAATCAATTAAATTTATATACAGACAGTTAAGTCAAATACAAATCTAAAGAGAATTTAGGATATTTTCTATTTTTTATTTAATATTAAAATAAGTTCTCACCTGACAACTTTCTTCAACATGTCGATACTAATCTGCTCAGATCCACAAACCATCTGTTCCAGTTTCTCCGCGGTCAAAAGTGACAGCAAGGGGACTGGTAATATCCCTGCCATGCCTTCACGGATGGCATTAACCTGCCGATCAAACTCGTGTAATCGATAACGCAACGCCTGTTCTACGTATTCACTTCGATTTTCAAACGTCAGACGAATGCTGTGACCGCTAGGGAATATGGGTACAAAGCGACCATCRGCGCTGAGTGTCTCGAAAGACTCTATCGGRATGATCTGAGATGAAGCAAATAGTTATTAGTACTTATTATAAGACTATAATAAAACTAAGCCTTTCTTACCTCAGCAAACGTATCCCCATCTACACCACTCTCATGGATATCGCGAATTCCACGTAAGCTTTGTATGTAGAGTAAATCAACCTGAAAAATAAACAAACTCTTTTTTACCGTTTATTTTCGTAAAGTGATAAATAAATTGTGAATAAGCATGGGGTAAAAAAGCAAACTTTTCTCGTCTCAGTCATTTCAGTTTCACTTTGAGCTAAAAAAACGAGCTCACACTATGACAAAAGGGCATGAGGTTTAACATGGGAGCTGAGAAAAATATAAGAATAAGCTAAAACACGTTCTAGGATTCATGCAATATTTATTTTGTTCAATGATATATTTAGAATCTGATTCCCACCTCCTCGATATCATCAGGTGTTAAAGGTATTCCGACCAGCTGTTTCCACACTAATGGCGCCAAATGTAGATCAAGAGGTTTCTTGGTTCGAACGGCGACGCCACACAGGATTCCCAAGAACTTAAACAAGATTAAATCGTCATCGGTAGTAGCAGCAGGATTAAGCAAAAACCTGACAAAAAACAATATTCATTACCATTAGCTGTTATACATTCAATTCTCACTATAACGGACATTTTGGACAGAAATGTTCTTTCACATTAATGACGTCATGGTTGTTTGGGTGAAGTGCATCATGGTATTGATATAAGTTTCAAGATGGCGGACGTCATAAAAACTAAGAAGGGCGACGTTTCTTTACGAAGTTGTCCGCTGTCGGGAATGCTTTGTAAGATGGCTATTAACTAGACTGTACAGATGAATAAATGTCCCAAAATCGGCGTAAATGATWTKATAGAGGTCCAAATGTKTTCTAAAATATAGTTACTGACCTGTCTCTGTTAAAGCCCACTTCTGATGTGGCGTTKGGTGAATGGATAAGAAGAGGGACGATACCTTCCTCCAGTTCCTGYCGATGTTAAAAAGATCTTGTATAAATTAATTGTGGTAGCAATGATAATTTTCATGATGACAGAATTGATGATAATGACGATGCTGCTGCTGATGGTGATAATGGTGATAACGATGATGATTGTGATGACAATGATAACTTCCTTGCCATACCTGGCACATTTCTGTAATGGTATCATCAAACACACCACCGGCATCATCTGCTCCTTCTCCAACAAGCTTYACTTTCCAGGCTCTTGAGGGCAGACATAAATCACTTGACTTGAGCTTGACAACTTGGTGAGCAATTTGTACGAATATTGGCTTTGATTTTTTGCTRCTGGCACAAGACGATAACGAGTTAGTAAACTTTAGGAACCTCCATTATAATGTAGATTCAATAATAATTGTGTGTTCAAAAATCATCTAAACGTTAAATTCAAAATTAAAATGTTGTTGACAATAAAAGGTTAAGAATGTACACAGAAAAAGACAGACAACTGTGAAAACATTTATGACGTTTACAAACCCGTTAAGGTGTTAAGGTGTCAAATAGACGAAATCTATTTCACTGTTTTGTTGTTGATGTTGTTGTTGTTGTTGTTGCTGTTGTTGTTGTTGTTATGGTTTTTTTTACATCACTGTAAACCCGTGGAACAAATTCCAATTAAGGTAAGTCTCACCTTCCAATAAGTCTTTTCACAGTGATTTGCGGTCCATAATTCTTGCCTTGCACCATGGTCCGCCCTATAGCGCGAACTATTGGTAGGTTCGATACACGAGTGGCTAATAATGGACGCAGTTGACCTCGTACGAAACCAGTAGTACCACGATTATAAGAATGGTTGTCAATCTAGAGATGATACACCATACATTTTAAGGACTGATTGGAGTTATATTTGGACTGACAAATGCATGCTAAATAGTGAACTGTTACAAATGCTGGATAACCTTCACACATAAGTACCCTAAGTCCATTATTTGAGCGGGAAGAAATAATGACGATGATGATGATGATGATGATAATGATAACATCATCGAAATGAATCTTGCAGGTAAATTTTTTCATGCATCTTTAATTTAATACTTTCACACCTCAATTTCATTGACATGTCCCTGTAAAGCTTTAGAGTTCGTAAAAAAGAGGTTTCACATGATTATATTCATACCTCTCCAGACGTTAGATTTAAAAGTTTCCATGACGAATACACCAAATCAGAAAAGAAATGCAGCACCCTCAGCCTCGCTCTGACTGCTTCTGTGCTGACACCCTTGAGTGCTGGGTACTGTGGTGGAATATGCTCGGGTTGTCCCAGTTGTAGCGGTGTTGTTGACCCAGGGGTACGGGTCTGCGGTGGTGGTGCAGTCCACGCAGCACTGTGGTTTCGACCAGCGGAGATCTGTCGTACGTTTTTTCCTTTAAGATCCTGTATCAGACATGGTTCGCGGTGCGTCACGCTATTTCCAAGACCAAGYTGACCGTCAACGTTYGACCCCCACCCCCACACCTCACCGGTACTTGTTAAAGCCAGTGTGTGCTCRGCACCSACGACAACATCGTCGACAAAGTGAGACGAAAGAGCAAGGATTTGTTGGGGTTTGCTGGGACCACGTAATCGTCCTTCTGGTTGACCGATCAAACGTTCTAGAATACAACATGTAGATCGTGATAGTAAATCGAATTCATTTGTATTGTTTACCAAGTGATATATGTTATTATTCAATCAAAATTAAATTCCCTTCGTGGAAGTGTATGGGCGGATAAAGCACGCTCTTGAACTACTCAGAGTGTGTGCTAATGAATCAATAACACAAGGTGTTAATCTACCTTGCCCAAATGAAAAAAGCCTCCCATCTTTTGACAATACCACAGAGAACTGTGTTCCACAACAGACTTTCTTGATTCCAATGCCATTAAGAGCTTCAATGACCTGAGGTGAGGTCTTTGCTGTGGAACTTCCTAAACCTAATTTACCGTAGTCCCCATCGCCAAATGCCCAAACCGTGTTACCGTCGGAAGATACTGTAAGGGTGTGGTTCAGTCCACAGGCAACCTATTATATAATATAAATGAGTACATGGACAGACAGACAGACATAACACAATAGTGAATCAAGCAAAGTTAAGACGTATGGGATCTCAAGCGAACAGCTCTATATTATAGATATCTCTACATCACAGACACCTCAATATCACAAACAATCCTTTAAGACCATTTCTATATTACRGACWCCYCTATTTTACGAACACCGTTACATTRCATAAAAAGTAAATATTACGATCACCTCTWTATTACGAAAACCCCTATATAAGGGGCACGCACCTTAAGTTACGATCACCTCAATAGATAGAAATAGTTACCTGTCCAATTGCATGTTTTTCAAGGGACATTACACGTTCAGGCGTCTTCTTGTTGACAGAGCTGCCGTGTCCRAGCCTACCATAATCACCGTTACCAAATGTRAACAGCTTACCATCGGAAGTGACTACAGCAGAGTGCTTGAAACCACAAGAAAGCTACAAGAAAATAAATATTCTAAGCCTGATAATACTTTTTGTGTTCGTTTTGTAAACGGTTACTTGATGAAATCGATTATTATCTCGGTGGGCTAGGTCTCTTAATGAGCCTATAGCTTACATTGATGACTTCCTGTCCTCGTAGAGCTTCGATCTGTCTTGGTCGTCTTTGTCGATCGCTATTACCATGACCAAGCTTGCCATAGTCGCCGTCACCCCAGCTAAACACCTCACCACTTTCTGTCAATGCTAAGGAATGGCCATCGGAACCACACGATGTGGCCAGCTGGATCACAACATAACCTACACAAGCAGAGAAAGATATATACAGTCAACTCTCGCCTTACGGACACCCCGCTATTACGGACACCTCGCTATTACGGACACCTCGCTATTACGGACACGAGATACTGAATCCCCGGCGAAAAATACAAAGAAATGACTTAAAAGTAACTCCCATTAGTACGGACTCTCGCTACTGCGGACACTAAATTACGGTCGCGAGGGTGTCCGTAATAGCGAGAGTTGTATAGAGAATCTCTTATAGGAGAAAGATGGAGTAAAGTGAGTTTGCTTTGAAAGCCAAACATGGTAGCTAACCTTGTAATGCTGCAACTGGTGTCAAAACAAGCAGATCATCCGAATTCCCCATTCCCAGTCTTCCATAACTTCCCTCGCCACAGGCTAATGCTGTGCCATTTGTTTGCAGTTCAAATGTACAATTCTGACCACATATAATCTGATTAGCCTTTGAAAATGACTTGGTAATGGTAGGAACGTTCACTCCTCGACCTGTCTCTGCAAGTTGTCCATGTCTCCCTCCCCCCCAAAGGTACGCATCACATTTGCCGCCAGTCTCCCACTGTTCGGGTCTTTGCATGGCCCAGGTCATAACTTGTTCGTCCATGGTAAGACTCCAAGCCGTATTGTCCTGAAATGATATTAAAATGTCACGTAAGTATGGATTAGTCTCCTGCAAATGCAAGACATCCCCTTAACAAATCATTACTTACCAGGGGTTGGTAAGGTTCATCTTCGCTRATCTTCTCCTCATTAGGAACAGTAAAACTACTATGAAAGACATCTCTAAACGTCAAGGCGTCCGCTGAGCGCACAGCCACACAGAAGGTTTTCAGCCATGCCCATTCTGATAGAATGTCACTAGGATGACAAACTGAAGTCAGGCTTGTGGACAGGGCGTGGCAAAGCACGTTGTCAAGGTCTAAAGCMACGACCAATGCAGCAAATGATTGGAGGAACGAACTATGAACCAGTTGGTCTCCGCGGCTTAGCGTGGCCTGAAAGAACGAAGTATYTAGCTGATTATTACTGAAGATAGTGATAATAGCATCCGGTACCATAATACCTTTTCGTAGTTGTATTGGTCTTGTAAAAGGTTGGGCAATCTCTCGAGCAGGCTTCGAAAGCAAACAGAATCACTCAATCCCGAAATGCCTTGCATTCTGAGTTTCTCTCGTGCCCAGGCCACTATTCTGTGTCTTTTGTACCAGTCAATGTTGAACTTTAAGAGAACTGGGTCCTAAAGTGAGAAATAATGGCGATATTTTAGTGATATTCAACAGATCAAAATCTCATGAGACATAAATGGGTCTTCAGATGGTGTTACCTTGGAGTCCTTGAAGGATGTCGTGACACCATGTTCACCTGTCCACACCATGCTCATTGCTGAGCCGTTTTCTTGATAAGTCTGAGCTATTACGCCGTCCTGCAATGAAAATGATGGATTTAGTATGTCCAAAGCAATATGAATAAATAACAGATAATAATACCTGGATAGACCATATATTAACTAAGCCTTTTTCACAACACGATGCCATGAAAACSCCCGAAGGACAGAACGACAACGAAGACACAAGGGAGTCGTGGCCTTTGACCTCAAATAGACATAAGCAGCCCTTGTAGCACGAGAAATCCTGATGTAAACTCTGTTGCGAGCCCGACAAGCTTCTGTTATTCTTTCCTAGTGCTTCTATGATGTCGCTGTAGAGGAAAACTCGACACCAGCGCTCTGGTTTAGAGTTCAACTTGGGTGAAGTGTTTCTTTTTGGAATTGCAGGCACGCTGTCAACACTGTGAGATGACGTACTGCGCATGATCGGGGTGTCGTCTGATCCCACACGTTTGAAGTTCGCCATTAGCTTTTTGATGGATTCTTTTTCGAGAGGACGTGGAACTTTGTAGACGCTTACTGTTCCGTCAGACCCACCACTTTTATAATGACAAAATAATTCATTAATTATAACTCTAACGGATAGCTCTAACTCTTACTAAATACTCGAACTCTTACTAACATTCTAACTCTTACTAAAAACTCTAACTCTTACTAAAACTCTAACTCGCATTAATAACTCTGTACCTAAAAATAGCTTTAACTCTTAATGATAACTCTTCCTTATATTAATCTTTCTGCATATACATATATATTGATGACTTCAATCATTTTTAAAACACTTACAGTGCGATTGCTCCAACACCATCATCACTGCCTTGAGTTTCAAACCAGCAAAAACTCGACACAGGAGAGCTGGACAACTCAAATATGTGTTGCAGAATAACTCCATCGTCAACCTCATACCAGACCTACAAAAGAACGATTGCAGAAAATGAAATAAAATAAGAAAAAAAAAAGGAAAAATAAGATGAAACAGAGATAAAAAAKCCCAAACCTTCACTGGTTCATTCTCTGCACAAGAGATCAGCGCCATGCCAGTTTTATCGAATTGTAAACCGATAATCATGCTCTACGATTGGGAAATATTACAATGGTTAGAGAAGAAGGAAAATGAAATAAAGAAATGACAAGGATGGAAGGTACCTGGTGAGCCGGGACCATCTTGACAGCTTCGCTTGGATCTTTCTTAGCCAGACAAACGACTCCGTCCATAAAACCAGCAGCAAAACTGTTACTGTCATCGTACCAGCTGACTCGACATACWGGATCTGGAAACAAACAAATTTCTAATTTCTAACCATACAAAGATTAATGTAAACAATGACAAATGCATTGGCTGTCCAGCTGAAAACTCCAAATGTCATGTAATGAAGTTGGTCTTGTTGTCAATGTTGTTGTCGTCGCGTCTTTATTGTTGTTGTTGCCATTATTCCTGTTGTTGTCGTTGTTACTGTTGTTATCGCTCCGATTGTTGTTCATGCTCGCCATAAGAATATTACAAACATAATGAACAATTTTCCAAGTCCGTATATTTATTCATTTGCTTACTTTTTCTAGAGCAGTGTTCAAGCTCGACGCGAGCCATGGAGCTCTTGTCAAACACTTCCACCACAGCTAGACTGCCGTCAATACGACCCACGAGCAGATTGTCCATAGTGGTCACGTGACTTTCCATGAAACCACGTGATATCGGCCACGTCATGCAAGTGATGTGGTGAGGATGTTTATTCAAGTTACCGTGGTTACCTAAAAAGCAATCAAGGATAAATAAACTTGGTTTGAAAGTCAATGAACATCATGAAAGCAACCACATTTTTAGAAAATGGTCACCTCCACTAAACGACCATTCACAAAAGGTGTCTTTTCTACGACCACATCAAATTTCCCTAACAATGCATACGTTTTAGAATATGTTGAATGACTTACCAGATAACGTCCAGATATTTACTAAGTTCTCTACAGCTCCAGCCAATARCTTTCCATTTGCCTAAAGCCACAAAATGCAAATAACAATTAGATTATAGCTCAGTTCTAACACGCGCGTGGATTGGCTGACGACTCGTGATTTACAGATCTCTTCTCGTGTCCTGCCAACCATCCCGCGCGGTTTATTTTGCCAGTAAACCGCTTCAAGCTATCGTTTACTGATTAATTAACTATGTCAGTGCATCGTAGGGGCACGGGAAAGAGTTCGTAATACAGAGGTTGCACTGTTTTATAGGGAGCTTCCAATCACCTATAYATGTCAACGAAATACAATTTTACTTACGTTAAAGCAGACGCACTCAATTTCTCTCAAGTCTGGAGTAGAGCTTCGTTCTTCTTCATGTGAGAAGGTGAAWGTGTATGACTGTTGCAGTATAGTATGACCTTTGGACGTCATGTTCCATACATTAATAACGCCATCCAATCCACTATGGAAGAGAAAAAATCACTTAAGTCTTTTGAAAAGAGAAAAAACGAATAGAAACTGAATAATAGATAAGAACACATGAAATTGAAGAAAAATGGGAATTACGAATATTGATAAATTTCCACTATCAAGACAAACTTGTAAGTAGGCACAAGTGTACATCATCACGAATCGTCATAGCAACTGATGGGATCACGAGCCTCATACCTTGTGGCCAGCAGACTCTTGGTAGCATTCCATGCGCAGTGTTTGACCTGTTTAAGAAAGACATTGGTTTGCTTATGAGGGYTAGATTATAGAATACCCATCTACTTCATGAATTCATTARAATYTATAGAAATCTGTGTYGTTCTTACAAGATCTGRYATACAAATTTCTATTTTGCAMCAACKTGGGCGGTTTATRAGTACAAATCGGTGATGTTTACTAACCTCACTTGAGTGYGCTTTTAATTTGATTTTGGGGCATTGTGGGATATCGCCTGTAAAACAAATTGTAATAMCSTTGGTSAGAATCAACCTCGTTCCCAGGSCCTTATCGATATGGACCTGGAATCGAGGTTGGGTSAGAATGAGGTCAGCCACAGCCCACCAACAAATAAGTTCATATCAAGCTTTCCTACCATCCATGTCRGCCGAGATTTCCTTTGGTTGTTCAGCAATTCGTAGTTTGCTTCTATATGCCARTGTYCTAACCAGCTCAATAGCAGCCCATTTCCTATGGGGGGAGGGGAGGTACGTAGATAGACAACATCCAGACAGTGCATTAACGAGGGGGAGAGGGACAGTAGATTCTTTTACAGGSCCTCTTGATGGACCTGAATATTTACCTGAACGAAAATGATGAGATTTATTATTAAAWTGAATGTTTGATGATGTTGATAATAGTGATGAAAGTCATATTTTTTACCCATACCTCCAGCTTCTGCTAGTAAGTCTACTAAAGCCTGGGTTACCACAAAACTTGGCAGAGACAAAGCCCTTTGGTCTGAAGACGACGGGTCATAGTCAGTGGATGAGCGAGGTAAATGTATTCCACGCTTTTTAGAAGGCTTGTCGATGGATTTCTTTAARGTGGCTTTGCCTATAGATAAAAAACAATGACAAAATTACAGAAATCGGCTGTAATACTTGCAGGTGAACATGCGCAATAGTCAATTTCGTATGAGTGGGAAACGGACGGCACTGTACTGTAACCGTAATAGTACTGTAACCAAATTCTAGTGTTTCCTTGCTTCACAAAAATTGTGCAGGCCAGGTCCGGTAACTGTGCGGTAACCGTGCGGTAATTTCTACCGTACGTTTCCMACTCATACGAAATTGACTCTAGTAGATACMTACCAGTTGCAGACGTCATTAAGTCCCTGACACASAGRTTCAAAAGAAGACGAGCTGAGGTTTGATCATCGGTAGCTAAAGCACACACCGCTTTGCTYAAGTCTTTTAGACTTTGGTTGGATCTCGCCTTAGTATCATCAACATCAGGCTTACATGAACCCGATACACAAATCCTGCCGGCAGCTACAAGCCTCATGAGACTAACAAGGATTTTAGTATCACCAAGACCTAGAGGTACAAACAACAATTCAACTTTAAAATAAGTTGAATAGACTTATAGACCATATAAAAAAGAGCGTGGCTATCGTAACGCCTGAGATTATAAGTTGTGTCAATCATTACTACCCGTTGAAAGAGCATATTATAATGAGTGAGATCTGAAAGTTTCAATGCTCTTGCATTTACGGAACAGAAATCACAGGCGTTTGAAATTGCAAAGGGTTGAGTAAAAATCAGTATTGAGGCCTTACCAGCCACGTTTTCGCGTTTTTGGTACGTTTTAAGTCCTCGAGGCCTTACCAGCCACGTTTTCGCGTTTTTGGTACGTTTTAAGTCCTCGTAACTCTGCCGAAATTTTACCATTTGAAACTAAAAATACGCCAATTCACTAGTTTACTCTTTCTTATCGTGAAAAGAGAGTTTTAAAAACATGAACCGTTTAAGGTACTTATTCCCAGTCTTCTGCTCGTTTTTCATATGGTCAATGATCATGATAAACAATCACCACCAAAACAATCCTTATCATCAGCATCATCATCACCATTGCCATCATCATCATCATCATCATCATCATGATTACTAAGATTATTACCTAGAGTCTTCAAACCATTAGCCAAGACAGCAAACTCTGGGCACTGTGCTAACAAATGCACCATGTTAAGAACCAGGTCTCTAGACAGCGAGATCTGAGCTGCTACTGTAATACGCTTCAAAGCAAGTGCTCTATCATGCATAGATGTAATAACAAAGGCCTGCTCGCCTAAAGTTCTTCTGGGAAGTCTGGACATGTCAGGTTTGYCCTTGTCGACGCGCATGGTCAGATCAAAAGTCGGATCACGGCTGACYACTTTGATTCCCAGGGGGTCTTCTTGTTCAAATATGACGGGGGAAGGGACTAATTTACAATCGGTRAGGCCAAGGGATGACATGATGTCATCGTAGATGGTTGGGTTAATTCGKGACTTGGTGCCTTCGGATCTTGGCTCATTCACTGTAGAAAATTTTTTTTTTTAATTATATTTAAATGGAAGATCAAATACTAATGATCTTGTTAGATCGGYATATCTATACACGCAAGAATGCAGTAACAAAATTCAACTAWGCCTCGTKGATTATCATCACAATTAGTGTCATCATTTTCATCATCATCATCATAGCATCATCAAGACAGAACTATAAATACCATTTGTCAACGAGTCTAGTGGTCCTAGCAAATCTGGAGCCTCGATAAGTTGCTTGGCATCACGGTATGAACTGAAAAAAATAGAAACGAGCGTAACTTAACGGAAAGTTAACTTACACAATATATAACATGAAGTTGGCTAAGGAGACCCGATGACTGACGAMATTTCTGTTGGGTGCGAAAGAATTTCTTGGCTTCACAAATGTGCAGAAATGTGGCAAGACGAAACACAACAAAATKACACGACATCACSCACAGGATTTGCGTAACGTCCAGGGGTTACGACGGGTGATAAGTACGTATTGATATAACAGACTTACATGTTGCATCCCTTTAAAGCAGCAAGTGCTCTAGCTTCTTCCGCCTTAGCAAGGTATCTTTCTCTACACTCAGGACAGAGCAAATAGTACGACAGTCCAGTACCGCAAATCCCSCCAAACCAGCCATCCGTGTAGACGCCATCACTACGGTATCCATGACGACTGGCATTCCCGCCACACCCAGGATGTTGAGTGCGCATATGACGATTGAAGTGAACCACTGACGCCTGGCAGATTTCACAGGTGAGAGTTTCTTGTTCAGCTTGATTGGCAAGCTGTAGATGTTGATAAAGACAAATAGACATTGAAACAAATCTTTTTTTTTGAGACTCAATTTTTATAGAAAACTATTTTGAGCAAATGGGGAATTGTGCAAAACGACCGGCCGAACCTTGTACCACGCCCTGGCAAGAACTCTTACAATTAGCTGCTAAAGACTAATTGTCGCTTTAGTGACAACAATAATAATTGTAAAACGTACCTCAGGAAAAAATAGACCACGTAATTCCCTATCGGATCCTTGTTCAAAATCACTGTCATCAAGATCCATGTCTAATGTATATAAGTTCTCTGGTGATGGTTCTTGTGGACTTGTAGTAGAGCTTGCTGTACGAATCTCATCTGGAAAAAGAAACATAACAGTCAACTATCGCCTTGCGGACACCTCGATAATCCGGACATCCCGTTAATCCGGACATCCCTATATTACAGAACAACCTTGCTATAACAAACACTGAAATGAATCTCCATTTTAAAGATATCACTGAAAAAGTTATATTGCAAAATAGATTGTTAAAATAGTGAGGACTGTTTCTCTTTACCTGCAAGTATTTGAGCAGTCGCTTCCTCTGGTTCTGCAATGTGATGGCTGGAAAGAATCGGTACTTCATCGTCATCATTTATTTCAGTGTCGCCCTGTTCGAATAACAATACGTCAATGAACCACTGCATCAAGTTGTCATGGAGACTAGAATACAGTACCTACCTCATCATCAGACACCGGGTGCTCTAGCAACCACGTGACCAACTCATTAATACGCCTAGTATCTGCGCCTTGTCGTATTCCAGTAGCTTGCATAGCATGTAGGACATGACGGTGGGAAAATCCCATCTCAAGTAACGGCAGAGAAAAACCAGGTAACGACGACATAGCGGCGACATCACGAAGCACTTGTGGGAGCGTCGTTGGTGGGGTAACGGAAGCATCGGTACTTGCCGACATTGTATCGATTTGACCTGATTCTAAGCTTCTTTGCTCAAACGTAGTACTATCGATTATCCGTGGCATTGTTTCAGTAGGATTGGTTGAATCTAATAGCGTTGGAGCAGATATTAGTGTGCTGGCAATAGGACTGCTTTGCTGGTCTGAGGTGGGTGTTTCCATGATAGAGGTCGCTGTACTTGACCTGCTTGTGTCGGGTAATGGATCAGCCATTGGAATCGAGCTGTCGGTATCATAGCTTGCTCGGCCTGATGCTGTTTCGGTCACCTCTTTCAATTCTTCTTGAGATTCATCTACTGAAATAYAAGTGACAAATAATATAAAAAGTACTTCTCTTTACTCCGATGAAGGATTAACGTCCGAAACGTCATTTCGCCTACTTTTTAACGGTGTCCAATTTATCTTTTTACAAAACTGTACTTTTATAATCGTAATCTGGTTATGACGATGATGATGATAGCGATGATGATGATGATGATGATGGTGATAATGATGATGATTCTAATGATTGTGATAATGATGATGATTCTAATGATTGTGATAATGATGATATGGATCAAATACTTACATTTCTTTTCGTCATCAGCATCATCAGTCTTTTCTGACCCAGTAAGAGCCTGGTTGAGGAGTACAGTCTGTGCTCTCTCAAGCTCCCCAACCCTGACAATCTGCTTGATGGGTGAAGGAAGTATCGAACATTTCACCATGCAAGCCATAACAGAACGTAACACCGCCATCATGGACTCGTCAAGGCATTCTATGCCATGAAGTTCCTTTGGGTCAACATGCTCGTTGGACGATATCCCATCAACATCTTTACAAGTATTAGATTTAGTTAACGACTCGATAGTTTGGAATAACAATAGGTTATTAAGGAACTTATTGGACTTAATAATCACCACTAAAGCCTTCAGGGCACTGAAACTAATAATTGACTCAATAAGGTCGTGTAGAGACCCAACATAGCTTGATGTACTACGCTCCGAGTACGATGATGCCAGAGATGTCTTTGATCCTGTGGTTGACTTTGTAGTATATAAAGATAATTCAGGCATGCTTGCAGTCCGCTTATCGTCCGTGTTATGCAGTAGATCTGTGTCTGAAGCACATCGTTTTTGAACCACCTCACTTGCGTCTTTGAGTTCGTTTTTTTCATACGTATCGTCTTCTAAGGAGACTAGACATTCAGGGGAGACTTCAGTTTCTTGTAATGAGGCACTTATATGAGATGATGACCTTGAAGGGGATACATGTTTATCGTCCAGGAGTCCAGTTAAGAGCAGCAAATCGGAGAACATCTCTGGTGAGAGGTTTCCTAGTCTTGTGGCGTCAAACTTGCGTGGTTCAATGTGATCCAGATTGCTGATAAGTGTATCACTACAAAGAACAGAAATATCAGTTGTTGTTTCTGATGACTGATGATTATGATTATGATGACAAAACCAATTACATAGAGTCAATTTCGTTTGAGTGGGAAACGGACGGTACTGTACTGTAACCGTAATCGTACTGTAACCAAATTCTACCGTCTCATTGCTTCACAAAAATTGTGCAGGCCAGGTCCGGTAACTGTGCGGTAATTTCTACCGTACGTTTCCCACTCGAAATTGACTCTAATTGGAATACAACGACAACAACAAGCCAGTGAAAAAAATTGACGAGGTGAGYAGCAAAGAAAATTCCAGATCATTATGGTATGATAATGTTATGGCTGACAATTATGCTTATGATTGGAATAGCATTGAAAAAAATTACCTGACATAGTTGTCGCCTTCATCCCACTGAACTTTCACGATCTTTCTCCCTTCATTGGCCACGCCCAAGATGGTTCCCTCTTTACCAGTACTCCTATCAACACAGCGGCCTCCTACACGTAAACCACAGTCAACGCCGCCTATGACGGCTAGGGCAGGCCATACAACGTAACAAACATGAGTTTCACTGTCAAGTAAGCTTGTGCGTGATGCAGACATCTATAGAAACAATAATTAAAAGATTTATAAATACTATGAAACCTTCCATTTGAGGGGAGCGTTTCCACAGTTCAATAGAGTTAATTTCGTATGAGTGGGAAACGTACGGTAGAAATTTACCGCACGGTTATCGCACAGTTACCGGACCTGGCCTGCACAATTTTTGTGAAACAATGGGGCACTAGAATTTGGTTACAGTASGATTACGGTCACAGTACAGTACTGTCCGTTTACCACTCATACGAAATCCGCTCTATCCAAGTTTTATGATAGATCGTTACTTACATCTTGTTCATTATCTTTGAAAGCATCTGAATCTCTGAGAGCATTAATCCCATCTACTATACATTGATTAACAAAGGATTCCCACTCTTCATTACAATGTAATGTCCTTATTAAGGACACTAGGGCCTCACACAGAACTGCTGGTAATGGGGCACACATGGGACTACCAGGATGAAGGTCCCTTGGAGCACTTTTCATATACATGTCTGTGATCGTAACCTAGAAAGAATATAATGCTATTGATTATTTATTATAAAAAATCAATAATAATAGCTAATGGATGTATACCTTTTCTCCAGGTGTATTACTATAAAACATTGCACAAGGATAGACTTCTTTTGCATCAATACCATCAAAGGCAACGCGAAGTTCCTAGAATTATAGCATATACACGATTAATAATTCTTGACAATCATTTTACACATACAAATTATTATCACTAATTAGCAATACGCAATACATTCATCTTTTAGCACCCAAACACGTAGTTTTCACTTTGAAGATACATTGTACATGTAGCGAACATTTTCTCCCTCAATTATTATGAACAAAACACTTTCCGCTCAGTAGATCTTAACATTTCAATCACTGTACCTCTCCATTCTTTCCGAGTGACAATGTCCCAGCTTCCATATCCAGTACGCATATAATATAATCTCCCTGTGTGTACCCTGGTAGGGTTAAAGATTGTTCACCATTATGGTATAGGTTACCACTGTATGCACGGTAAAGCCACATGTCACGGGTTGTACGGTGACTGTCATCGGTAATGGGGTAACGTGCCACACCCACACACGTTCCTTCGTTACCGCGGTTCTCTTTAGTAATATGGAACTGGCAAGAGAGAACAGTTAAGATCATTTCAAGCAAGAAGATCGTTCGTTGACTCTGATGAAGTGTAAGCTGCAACTCAAGCTTAAGTTGTTTAAGGTTTGAGAAATACTGWTAAAACACTTATAAGTTAATAATTACCTTCCATTCATACAGTCCAGATTTGATACCAATACCAGCAAGACCATAACCCCTCCTGGACCCATTGTGTACTAAAGTGTTACCATTTTCCACAGCACAACCCAGAAGTCTATCACGATCAAAGTGGACGTCTTTAAGYGGTACCTTCTCTGTACCCTGAGGTACATCATCTTCACAGGACACAGTATTCGCTAACGATGACGATGACCACATGTACTGGGCTGCCAGGTAGAACAGCTGCCGAGTTACCTGGAAAACACCATGTCACATATAAGASTMTTTCCCTCATAAACACAAAGAGTACTTAKAATCATTTTAAGGACTTACTGCAGTCATGAGGTCACTATCACGTTCTGACATACAAACRGGTAAGATTATTTCCAGTAAGTTAATRGTTAACATTCTTGTTCTCATTGACAGGACAAAGGTTTCTTCTTCAGGTTTTGYAYTGACGGCAATGATGCTCAGTAATACATCCAGCCAAGCTTTGGTCACCATCTTGGTACAGGCAGCCTTGGATGTTGAAAATCTTAAGAAATAAAAAACAAGAACTTAAAAGAGATCGTAAATTGGATATCATAAACTTCTCCCTAGTGCATACCTTCTCAAAAAGACCAAGAAGTCACAAAGCGCTGTCTCGGCWATTCGCCTGTCTTCACTTGCAATAAATGCAGATTCGTCGGCATCAGTAACAGTAGTTGTTGAGCTCTTGACAGACAAGCTTCTTGAGCTGTTTATAAGTGTCTCCAGTTGTTTGAAGTGAAGATTAACCATGCAATTGACAACGTCATCAGACAGTTTGTCAGCATGCTCACTGAAATATAAGTGGTAAAAGTGGTTTGAGTTTGTAATATAAACCTCTCAAGCTTTTACATCATATACCATATCACAGGATATGTTTGGGACAAAACATGGCAGATTTCTTTTGTTTTCTGCGGAAACGTATCCCACAATGCATTGAAAATCGCATAGGTGATATTAAAGGTTCCAAAGTCTATTGCATGATAGAGTCATCAGCGATCTTTGTGTGACCAGGTGGAAATAAAAACGTAGTTGTTTTCTGTAGGTTCATATTGATATGAATTGGAGAAACGTAACACACAGAGAAAAGTAAAACGGCACATCCGAATCTGGAGCAGAACTGGTTTTCACACCACGCGTTACATACGTAATTTGCCAAATATGGATTACAATGTAACGCAATCTTGACCTTATCAAAGTTGCCATGATAAAAGCACCATGCGATCATCATAACTTAGAAATCAGAAATACAATTCTACAGCAATAACAACAATGGTACTATGATAGTGAACATAAAATTTTTATCGAGTGGAATGTTTAATCAATTAGAATGGTTAAATGCCATGGAATGTACGATCTAACACAAAACAGATGATTTTAATGATAACACTATTTAAGTCTAATCAGGACCTACCCAACAGTAACAGCAATGATCTGTAACAATCTACTACTGGCAACCTGGAGAATCACAGGTAACATGGACTTTCCATTGGACTGTGTAGTTTGGTATGGACTGGGCTGTGCTGCAGTAAGACCATGACTGCACATACCATATAATATTGATGGTAGATGACTTGTAACAGCCAGTGAGATGTCGGCAGGTTGAAGTTTGTTACCCAGTGCAAATATGGTTTGTAGCTGTTGACGTTGCTTAGCACCTGAATTTAGAGTGTGAAACAGTTTATCAATCAATCAATCATCAATCTGTCAATCAAGAAATCATTGATTGATTGATGAATCATCAATCAGCCATTTAATAAACCAATCGTTCATTCAAACAGTCAATTCAATCAATCATTCAATCAACCAATCAATCAATCAACCAATTAATTGTTCAAAAAATCAATCAATCAATCAATTAATCAATCAACCAATCAATCAACCAATACATTGTTCAAACAATCAATCAATTAACCAATCAATCAACCAATTAACTGTTAAAAAATCAATCAAACAATCAATCAATTAACCAATCAATCAATCAATCAACCAATTAATTGTTCAAACAATTAATCAAATAAATTAATCAATCAATCATCCAGCCAACCAATCAATCAACACATCAATCAATCATTCAAACAATCATATTTAGTGATGTTCTTTCTACCTTTTCTATTGCTAGAGTCTCCATTGTCTTCTTGCAGCATGTTGACAAGATGAGTATACAAACGATGGACACAGGATTGAATGGATTCCAATCAATCAACCAATTAATTGTTCAAACAATCAATCAAATAAATTAATCAATCAATCAATCAATCATCCAGCCAACCAATCAATCAACATATCAATCAATCATTCAAACAATCATATTTAGTGATGTTCTTTCTACCTTTTCTATTGCTAGAGTCTCCATTGTCTTCTTGCAGCATGTTGACAAGATGAGTATACAAACGATGGACACAGGATTGAATGGATTCTTGCAGCTTAGTAGAAGTAGCTTTGATGTCATCCTAAGAAYAACAACAAAGACATAAGCTATTTCTTACAGGTAATAACAATATCYAACAATATTTTGAAAATATTCACCTGATAATGTAGAGTATGGACATGTTCACTGAGTTCCTGGTGACTAGARCCCAGTCCTTCYAGTCCRAAGGCACCAGAGAGAAGCTGGAGTCGACTTGATAAGAGAAGTGATTTGAGGCTGACTTGTGAGTGTGTCTTGGTCTTGTCATTTGGGTCAAGTAATGTAAGAATGTAATTCAAAGCTTCTAAACGTAACTGAAATTAAACAACAGTTTAAGGTTAGTTTTAGATTAGCGTTCTTTTATGAAAGGAAGCAATGCCTAGACAATAACATCCTTTTGRGGAATCATTAAACACAATATTTTAAATAGTACTTTGACTTTTGTCAATGCTGACATCACAAAATGGGAAATAAGTACATGTATGTACATGTAATCTGCTTCTCTCCCTGACTACTGTTTTTTTGTTTTTTCTCCAGGGTCTCAGCTTTCCCTTCTTCATTCAATAACTATCTCTAAGAAATGTTGTGTGCATCTAATATACAAAACTAAAATCCTCAAAGCAACCAAAACGAAAAGTTAAAAAGACAACAACATTATCAAAAATTGACCAATCAAAGGACAGGAGATGAACTGCTGTCTCACTCAACCAATCAGAAACAGTGTTGAAACTGATCTAGACAAAATAATGTTATCCATAAAGTAAAGGTGGTTGGTTCTCAACTACTGTAGTATCAATTGTGAATTGTGCAGTCAAGAGTACTTAAAAAAAACATTAGAGTTTGCCAATATTGTCTTATGATAAGAACATCAAACATTGTGAGACTCATTCATTGGAAATGAGCCAACATTCACATGATTTTCAACACAAGGGTAAAACAATTTGATATCAAATCTACACAGTTATAACAACTTACTCTTACTTTCAGTATAACAGAATTACAATTGTTATTTTACTAAAAAGTACTAAATTTCTTTTAGATTCAGAGAAGGAGGAGGAAAAAAATATTTAAGAAAATTAACATTTATTTTCCTGCCCTTCATTGCTTGCTTTTCTGTTTCAATTTTCAATTTTCACATGTTCATAACAAAGTGGCTTACTGTACATTTCCTTCTCCTTCACTACTGACCTCACAAAATTAAAAAGGGCCCATTAGTAAGACTGAACTCACCTCCCCTCTATGCTGCTGACATTGCATGGCATTAAACACTACAGCTGGGGCTGAACATAACTGTCCAGAGTGTCCAGTCTGTSCATCATGACCTTTAAATCCCTGTGTTATAAAGTCAACAACACTGGTCGCAATCATCTTTACTGTGGAAGAGGACTTGGGAGGATTGCGTGCACTGCCTTTGCCATGATACAAGGCAAACCTTTCTCTCCTGTGGCGCATGCGTCGAAGGGCTTCTTTAACAGCCTCTAGTCTTTTCTTTTCATCTGTCAAAACAGTAGGGTCATGGTTATTACTAACAATCAATCGTCTGTCTGTCTGTTAACTGTCTATTCATCTTTCTGTCTTGTTTTGTTTGTTAGATACCTTCTTCGTTTCTTGACGAGGGGAACTGAGAAGCTGTTTCATCCTATTAAAGAAAAAAAACAGGAATTTTATGACTTGAATCAGATGATCCAAGTAGGRCTCAAACTCATGACCCTCTGATCTCTGAGGAATAAGAGTTCAATCATCTTATCTCTTCAACAGATCTAATCGGCTAACTCGTTTCCATGTTCATTACCACCTAATTCAATTAATCYTGTGTGAAAGAGAACTTTTGTTTCTAAGAATTTCAGCTGTGAAATGAAAATACAGCAAACAATAAAACTTACTCCCTGGTGGTTTGAATTGGATGGAAACATTTAAAGTAACATGTTAGCCGACTAGTTCAAAGAACTATTTCTCAACCTACCTCACTYCTTTCACTTCTAGGGCTATGCATAGGACTGAGTACCGGTGAGACAGTCACTGGTGTGCTCTCTGCTGTGTCATCAATGTTAATATGTAGTGCACTATCCATTGGTACAGGGTCAGGTGAGGATTCATTAACAACACTGTTAGTAGTGGCTATGATGGTGAGTGTTTCTTGGTCAAGWGGAAATGCAGATCGAATGTAGAGGATTAGGAATAAACAACGTTGTATGATACTTATACATGCATCAGAGAAGAATTGATCATTCATGGCATCTGTGAAAGGAAAACAAAATGGCATCAGTTATCTTTTTTCAATTAACAATTTCCTTACTTGAGTGCCTCTACCAAGCGAGGTTCTGTGACTATGCTAGACTACACTGCAGGTATCTCATTCACTCTTTCTACATATGTGGCCTGATTTAGGGTACTCGTTTTCGTGTCTCGGTTTTTGTATCGCGAGACATGCAAGACAGTATATCTTTCTAACTCTCTCTACTCACACTTTCTCTCTCTCTCTCTCTCTCTCTCTGAGGAAGTCTGGGAAAGAATATCCTCTTTCTTCTCTAGCACTCAGTCTCCCCACATCTCACCAAAGGAAACCCAGAGCCTACTGTGATACACACTGCTGTACATTCATATTAAATCTACTTTATACATGATGAGAATGATGATGATAGTGATGAATTCTTAGAGCTTAGGCTTGGGTAAATCATTTATATAGTACTATTCAAGCGATGAAATATGAATGGCAATAAACATGTCAATAATGGACAAATAGTAATAGTAATCTAAGGTATGTTTTATCAAATCAAACACCAGCTTCAGTCAACATTGTTTTGTTAAGGTTTTTACTCTCTCTTTTTACTAAGCTTCTAAAGGAATCTATACCTTGACTCATCTCTCGGCTAGGTAGAGAATTATCATCGCTCTGGTTTGACTGAAGGCTGACTGWCTGACCAGGATGATCAATGGTTGGAGAGCTCAACATAGAACTTGCACTTCCATGACCTGACTTTAAACTAAGGAGAAATCTTCGTAATGAACCCACACTCTTATAAGCCTCTGTCATCTCTTTGGACCTAAATAGACAAAATTAATGTGTTAACTTAAACTCTCTTCATTACTTTAGACATTAAAAAGTCCAAACTAGAGAAAAAGGCAACAAACTTAGATTGAGCATTAAATTTGCACTTATAAAGTGTAAAAATCATAAGCAAAAATCTTGATTCAGTAGATTAAGATTTTCTAATGTAGAGTGAAATACAGCATCTACATGACAAAATACTCACTTTGTCTTCTGWAGTGCAACAGGCAACAGTCCACAGTGCTTCAATACTGCTGCAAAGGCAAACCTTGTGGCTGCATCCAGTAGCTGGATATCTGAKGCTTCTGTTGCATAAAGTTCTATGGGCAAAAAATAGAATTATCGATTATAAACATTACTGGTCAAAAATGCATAGTTTTGAGTGTAGTAATCAAGTGCAACAATTTATCATTGAGTAAATAATTAAAAGCAAATTGTTGCGCAATGCAAGATCTTAGTTAAAGTCCAACATCTAAACCAATGTTTGTACATTAGCCAATAATGTGCTATATTTTTCGTGTAAATGAGTAATGATAAGAGAGACTGTAGGGTTACCCACCCTGGAATTTTCCAAAGCCGTACAATAGCTTTAACACACTCTCAGCAGCTTCAATAACAGGTCCCTGAGCCAGGTCAAGGAGGAAGATTAAATCAGGGGGGACACTTGCTCTGGTATTCTCGATGGAATCAAATATAGAGGGCAGCGAGCTGGCCATGAACTTTTCTGTAATGAACAAAACAATATACTTATTTTAATAAAAAGGAAGAATAAACTTTCGATGAATTGGTTGTGTAATAAATGAATAAATGAACAAGGAATGAATGGAACACAAAAGAGAAAAAAAAAGCAGAAGAGAAAAAGGGAAAAGGAATAATRAAAGAGAAAAAATAAAGAAAATAAGACCTACCTAAAGGGGGATCTCTATTCTCAAGACCATAGTTCAACAATGGAGAATTCAGCCATTTTTCACAATCACTTTCGCTCTTTGACAACAACGGCCCTATCAACATRCTGCCAAGGACACGCCCAACAAACAAAGCACATGTCCTTTGAAGATCAACAAGCCAAGCCCATGATTGTGCAGGCTGTGGCAGAGGCAAAGCTGCAGGGTCAATATTCTGAGGGGTACCTAAAAACATAAATTGGAMATTTAGTATACAAGCACAAAAACTTCAACACAATATTACTTTTACTGTTCCTGCTTGCCACCATAAAAGGTAGCCATGCCTTTGTACCRCAGAAAAACAGCAGTTAAGCTTGGATTTAATACCAACAAATGCTATGCATAGCTTTTAGCTGTTTCACGGGACTTACCCAAAACAGGCCATTCTAATTCATGTTCCTCCATCACTGCTGCAGCTGGGAGTATTCTGTTCAATCGATCCAGGATAGGTAGCAACTCAATACAGACAGGTAGAATAGGTCTTACAGAATCAAAGGGCATTAACATAAGGGAATAGAAGACCAAGGACAACATGGAYCCAGCAGGTGAGTTGTATAATATACCTACACACAGAACAACAATGTCAGTTGCAGTGAAGATTACACAGAGTTCCAGTTCTGAGCATCATCTATAAGCTGAATGATAAAGGTCTCTTCTGGATGGGTTATTTAATGCTTGATTAGCACTGATCCTGCGTTATCTTGTAAAAAAACTTATGGAGTTAGCCCTTGATTAATGCTTATCCAGCTTTAAACAACCCAGCACTTTAAGAAATGTTAATAATGCTCAATTGACAAGACACCAGATACAATCCCTGATTTTTACCTTTTAAAGATAATTGCAATCATCCCAACCCTTCGATATATGAAAACCCTCTCCCTCAGGGCCAGAAACACTAGTATGTAATCTAACATAACACTGCTTCTGTCTGACAAGCCTTGTACATTCAAACTATTTCTTACTACGCCCCTATGACTTGCCTACATGTACAACAGTTGTATGGAACCAATGACTTCATTTGAATGGTTTCCTCGTGGAAACTTTTGAAACCCTCTCCCTCAGGGCCAGAAACACTAGTATGTAATCTAACATAACACTGCTTCTGTCTGACAAGCCTTGTACATTCAAACTATTTCTTACTACGCCCCTATGACTTGCCTACATGTACAACAGTTGTATGGAACCAATGACTTATATTCAAGCTTGTATTATTATTACTCTGCTTTACAAGCCTTGTAAGTTCAAACTATTTCTCACCATGGATTTTCTCTCTTAGATGTGAACTTCCTTGTCTTACTAACACTTCATGAACGGTAACCAAGATATCACCGGCACATGGCAAATACAAAGACAGATGACACTGCAGTAACTTWACAGCYGAATTAAAGCTAGTAGGATTGTCATTAATRGCACTGCTCTGGCAGTAGGCAAACAGATGTTTTTGCAACARCAACAGCAGCTGTCTTATGTGGATGGGTGGGGCTTCTTTGGAAATTCCTTGTGTGCCACTGTGAGGTGTTCCTGGCTTCTCTAATTCTAACAGACATTTCTCCTGTAAAGAAAGGAAAAAACACTGGATGAGTATGGATGAAGTGTTTTTTTTAAACACCTCTTGAGACTCTAACTCTCTTAGGCCCAGTTCATACACCAAGGCAGCGTAACGCAGAACCAAATAGTTAATTGGGGTCAACCTAAATACATTCAGTATGGCCAATAACACGCACTTTACATCCATTATTATTTTTGAAAAAACAGCTAGTTAATACTTTTTAAAGAAAGAAGCATTATAAAAATCTTGTTTCAATCTTACTGTATATTAGAAAGGTACACAAGTTTAATAAAGAACTACTAGTACTCACTGTGTGGAAAGTTAGATTTCTGAGCAACATTTTCATGAGTATTTCAGCCATTTCTGTGTTATCTTTGATACATGGTTGAGCTGTATCAATACTAAGAGGATCTTCTTTAGATAAGAATGAGAATCCAAGAAGCGATGCTACATGGGTGTGGTCTTGCATACTGTTTAGTATGATACCAAGTTGTTTACGCTATTGAAACAAACATTGAAATATAGTTATCAAATCACCATTATCATCACCATCATCATCATCATCATCATCACCATCATCATCATCATCACCATCATCATCATCATCATCATCACCATCATCATCACCATCATCATCACCATCATCATCATCATCATCATCACTATCATCATCATCATCATCATCACCATCATCATCATCATCATCATCACCATCATCATCACCATCATCATCACCATCATCATCATCATCATCATCATCACTATCATCATCATCATCATCATCACCATCATCATCATCATCATCACCATCAATACAATACAGAATCATCATGAAATAAACCAAGATGACATTCACAACAGCCTACCTCTCCATAAGAGAGTGATTCCCAACTGTCTGGTCCCTGAGGCAGCAATGAGTGCAGCACTTCCATTCTCTCTGGTAAAGGAGGAAGCAAGAGAGATGCACCAACAGAGAGAGCTTCATTAACAGCCTGACATCACAGACAACACTAGTTAGTAAGTTCAACTCACATATAATATGTATATGTACTTTGTGTACTCCTTTTAATATCCCCCTGCCATTTCCCTCCCCCCTAAAAAGGTCTTCCTTTCCTCCTCCTCCCACACAACTACCCCAAAGAGTTGCTTGACCCRCTGACCTCCTGTATCTCATCAGACACTGATGCATCCAGTAGTTTGAACAGTAGTTTGCGCAGCGGACGTGTATAAGAACCAAGRACACTGGAAGAAGCACCAGCAGCAACAGCAAGAGATAAATGTACTGATAGCAGCTTGAGACAGAGGAGTACAAATATGTGGTGTTCACTGGAAAGAGAGAGAAAAAATTAAATATAGACATGTACTTCATTGTGGTTGTGTTGTCATAACAAAAGTTAAGAAGAATCATTACTGATAACTATTTTAAGGAATATCATAATCGCTATCATATCTACCTTATACTGGAAAATGGTGGTATTGACTGGTCTGGACTCTGGTGCAATTCTGGACAAAATCTTTCCAGGAATTTTTGTAATGACCCAAATGTTGATTGCTTGAGGTCAACACAGTAGGCTCTGAACCATGAAATMACTTGCCTGGTTGAGATAGCAAAATAATGGCTATAAGCACAAAGCTTTGAACAATATCCAGTTTAATTCTTGAATATATCATTAATTAGAACAAGCTGGCATTAACCATGTTACCTATCTAATGGCAGGGCAGTCCAGGCAATAGTGTGCGATGTCCCTGCACTGATTTGATGGACAGCTACACCATCAAGACCAAGGACCTTTTTTGGCTTGGTGATGGGCGTGGTACAATGCCCTTGTCCACACTGTCCCATTGAGTTGTTACCCCATGCATAGACTTCATTTTCTAAGGTAGGAAATTTAGGATATTAGTATACCAAGGTGGATCTATTTCACATTAATATTGACAAGAGAAAATGGTGGTTTTACCTCTTGTTAGGACAGCACAATGACTATCACCTACAGCAATGTCTACAATATGGAATGGCTGAAGACCTGCTATTAGTTTTGGCCTAGCAGAGGTTGCATCTACTGACCCTGTACCAAGACACGGACCACATCCCCATGCATACACCTGTAAAGCAAACATTATCTTTTGTAATRCTATGATAAAATGTTGAAGTAATGAAATAATAAACAACTCGTTTTTATGAATGTTTGTATTTTATGAAATGACAAGATACTTGTCTCAATGAAAGGTTAAATGACATACAGACTTACTGAATAAAAGCAAGAATGAATAAATGAAAAGTTCAATAAATTTGACAAATGAATGAAGAACTAAATAAATGAATGGATGATTAAATGGATGGATGATAAAATGAATGAACAAACAAATAAATGAATGAATGAAGGGCATATCAAGCTGTTTGGATAAGATCATCACATTACTATATACCTGTCCAGTATTTGTTAGGGCTAAACTGCACTGACTTCCACAGCAAACTTTACGAATAATCATTCCTTGTAACCCTTCAATGATCTGTTAAACATTTATTGGTATTTTGCTATTAGTCTTTAGTCCCTAGTAGAAAGCACAGGGCTCCCAACAAATAACTAATGCTAATGAAAGCTATATTGAATGGTAGACAGTTATTGCACAATACCTTTGGTTTATAAACTCTGTTGGTATCGCCATGACCAAGTTTACCTGGAATCAAACAATAWTTTTGTAATTGTGTTTATTTATYAAGTTGAAGGTATAATAAAGCTGTCTAAATACGACTAAATTTGATGCTGCAGACAATCCCTTGTTATTTATTCCATTCATTTTCAAAGAAACAAATGTAATAGACTAATTCAATACACAACCACAACACATTGTTAGTTGGTCAATGCATGTTTCTGTACCATTGTCTCCGCTACCAAATGACCAGACAGTCGATCCATCCATGGACACACAGACAGTATGAGCACTGCCACACGCTACTTGTCCAATRCTGGTTACATCTTTCACTTGAACTGGGATATTCCTACTATTGTTGTCTCCATGKCCTTGTGATTAAAAACAGAAAATATTACAATGATGAAATATTACATGGATAGGAAAGTGAAAAAAGAAAGTGAAAAGTGGAGGAAAGAATAAGAAGAATGGAAGGGAAAGGAAGGGAGGGCCTTACCAAGCCTTCCATAGTCTCCTTCACCCCAGGTGTATAATTCCCCATCTTCYGTCACAGCGGCACTGTGTCTGTACCCAGCRGCAACACTTGAAACAATCTAAATAACAAAACCATTTCATGTAACAATCAAATAACAAATCTTAAATTAAAACATACAAATTGACTCCATCCTTAATAATCACTGTCAATGGAAAGTGTAACTAAAGCCGGATACTAACTTTTAAATAAGAGTTTTAATCTACATTTACTTTAGCAWGAACAAAAGTTTCCAACTCAGACACTAACTGACTTCTCAACTGAAGATCACCACATTGAGGACAGGTRACCCAAACTTACCTTATTTGCAAGAACTCCTTCTATAATTTTTGGTACTTTCTGTGTCTGGCTGTTACCATGACCTAATTTACCATAATCACCTATAAAACAATATCATAGTATGTTTTATTGGAAGTAAAAGATTGCAAAATAGAAAGYGCTTAATAAGCAGGGGCGGATCCAGCTGGTGGGTGCAGGGGKKSGGACCCCCTTCTGAGGACTGGTATCCTTCAATACTTTCCTTATTTTGTATCTTCATGGTAATGATTTTTTTGTGGGGTGTACCCCCTATTGAGTGTCCTGCACCCCTCCCTGAGGAAAATCCTGGATCCACCCCTGATAAGGACTTACAGTACATGACGTGCTGTCTCAAAATTCAATGCCAATATTGCACTGCATTCAGAACTGAATTTGACTACATTACGCTTATAAAGTGTCTCATATGTGCTAAATTCAATGCAAAGATTGCACTGCCACAGAATTTGACTAATTTAACCTACAAAGTGATCCTATATATATCGTAACTCACCATCTCCCCAGCTGAACACTTTACCATCGATTGTCAAAGCTAATGTATGACCATCAGAACCTTTTGACGATGCCACTCGCTTAATCACGCAGTCTGTGTCAAAACTAACTCTTTTAAGTTGTGCTTGATTGGTTGAGTCTCCTAATCCAAGCCTTCCATAACTCCCCTGAAGAGAGGTATACTAATGTTATTAAATGACTTCATAAATAACAATAATAATTGACTGTAAGTATAATTATTGGAAATAATGAGCTGACCTTTCCACAAGCATGCAGAAATCCATCAGGAAAAATAGCAAAAGTACAGTATTGTCCTGCTTCAACCTGAAAGATAAACGTAAAATGAAATTACTGTGGTTTTCAATTTATGTGTGTTATTATTCATTCATCCATTAATTTATTTATTTATCTATCCTTATCATATTCCTAAATTATAATTGTTATGATACTTGTATGAGCTCAGAGAGAAGATAAGGTATCATTCTTGATCATCAGATGCAAAGGATATAAATCACTTCAGTAAAATATACCCATGACAACATGATATCAAGTCTCGTGAAACATTTCATCACTGCTACATACAATAGACCATATCAAGCAAAAGAAGGCAAATACGTTTTTTTTATTTCCTGAAAGTTATGGACTGCTCAGAAATTAAATATAGTAGAGAGAGAAGGAGATGCAAATTTGACATTTTATGATCAAGACATCTGCGGAATTCAGAGGGTCTCTGTTTCAAATGACTATTTTCAAAATTCCAACACTTGTTGCTAATTTCTGACCATAATCTTTTGCAATCTATGTGTACAGCAATACTCGAATGTTTATCAACAAACTCATTGTATGTCAGTGTGCCAACCATGATCAGAATGGCTTTTCACAAGTTGCTTTGTTCTAACATCCAATCGTCTTCTGGTTGACACATGACATTGACTTTACACATTACCTGTTGGGCATTGCCAAATGACGATGCTACTTTAGGGATGAGAATYTTGTCCATACTTCCCTCAGCCAGTTGATGGCTGCTGTTGCTGCCCCAAACAAACACCTCATCGTTTGTACTGAAGCCATTGCTGAACCCTACATCACTGTTTGATCCATTCTTGATTGATGTCTGGGCATAGCACTCAGCAAGGCTGGTTATCTGGGAAGAGATATCAATGAATGATATTATCATCATTGTCATCATTATCATCCATCAACAACATGGTAAACTATAAAAAACTATATCTTCAAGAGAAATTTTGATATTTTGATCATTAAAACGATGTCCTGGGTACTTGAGAAAATATGACAATATAATCTACGCTTTCATAATCTGAAAGACAAGATTTTTTTCATGTGCTTCTCCTTCAATCATTACCCTTAACATTGAACTTCCCTAGAATATAGCAGTCTGTCCAAGTCCCTCACTATCTATGTAATCCAGATGCAATTCAGATCATTGGTCTGCAAAAATCTGGAAAGTCGGCCACATCTATCTATCTATCTATCTATCTATCTATTCAGGGTACAGGATAAAATGAATGAATATTTTTTTACATTTTATCATTAACTGCTCAAATATATCTTCCTTTTTCGAAATAATGTCCCAATACAAGGATTACCTGGTTCAAGAGATAAAGAGCTGCTTGGTGCAGAGGTATAAGTCCTGTTTCTTGATCTGGTTCTAGATGAAGGTTGGTCTCAGGCTCATCGAGACTAGTCTCTCTATCATCCTGGGATCCTCCGGTAACTTCCAAATGGACATTCTAACAAATTAATAAGAACAAAGTGAACTATCATTACCAAGAAACGAATCATTTCTATCTGCTGTGCTCCGCGTTCAGTCGTTAGTTGCTATGTAAAGGAAGCGCCTAGCCGACAGCACGCCTATGTGTAAGTGTCTGTAAAATGTGTCTGTAATATAGCACTTCGACTTGAGAGCGCGTCSAGCTGCGTCTTTCGCAATTCAGCACCCATGCTGCCATGAAAGACGATTAGTACCCAACACCTTTTCCTTCCTTTCTAACCATATTATTGTACTCTATAACTAAAGTTTTTTTTTTATTTTATTTTGCTTTTTCCTTGTCTGACTTTTCTCATTAAACTAGGCTGACTTCTGAGCATGATATTCATGTACATGTAACTAAAATTGATTGATTGACTGTTGCAGTGGAATAGTCAATCCAAGCATTTGTTAATTGTGGCCCACCAACTGTTTTGTTCCACCCATTTATTAACAATCCCTTTTGTGTTTCACTGTGATAATCATTTCACTTCCCACCTTTTATTCAGCACAGTTGAGACCATAATAATTATAGCACTTCTTAGTACATTTTGTATATTCCACATGGTAGAGTATCTTAGGTCTTATCTTAGTTTGCTATCTTTATTACAGCCATAATAATTTGTTTTTATTCCAACTAATTATAAATATATACATGAGAAACAGACATAAACTCATGAACATTGAACATAAAAAAACAACATTGCCGATTGAAATGAGACCGAATCTGTCACAAGACAAAACAGAAATTTAAGCTCGAGTGATATATTTTTGAATTGTCTGTCACTTTAACCATAAGCCATAGAATATTCTATKTTAGCACTAAAAAAGTTTCAATAAGTACATTACATGTATTTCAAATAAAGCAATGTAATCAGTATGTAGGTAAATATGCAAAAACAATTATAAATTGAAGTAATGCAAAACTGGAATTGAAAAAATACTGTTTAAATARAACTTTTTAAATGAATTTCTTGAAAATTCAATAATTAGATAAATGTAATAATTCAATGCCAGAAATTCTCAATATTGACATTGTGGCGAATTATATCCAATCATGAGCTTTTTAAATGATTCCCTTTTTATCATAATTGATGAACTAGCAAATACGTTGGCAAGCAACCAATAATTATTTGCATGCCAATGAAATCTTCAATATGACAGTTATGATAATAATATAAATAATATAAAATGTGGTTTGGGGTTTTCTATTTTCTGTGAAATTTGAACCACAGAGAATGAGCTGATATTATTATTGCACACCAACAGCAATAATTAAAAAAATAACTATTATTAAAAAATGTTAAAAGAATGATAAAAAAGATAGCCCTTTGCATGTAATCATTTCATGTGTTATATAATACAATTTCCTTACAAAGTAATATTTTAATGACAAATATTAAAGCAGTTTATATTAAATAAACTGGGTTTTTATTCCAATTTTAACTTTTAAAAGAATTTTGACATATATATAGATTCAAAAAATATTATCATTATCAATAGTTTCTGTTTCTTGTTGTTGTATTTTTTTTCGTGCACAGGGCAATTTTGTTATCATATGYATTTCAAAACATTTAATCTGATTAATTATCAAAATTGAATTACCTAAGACAATCTTACCGTATTTTTCCTCATCTGCTGACAAACATCTTGCAAGCATTYCCTGGACAAGCCTATAATATTTTCAGAAYTGTTGCCGTCTTTTGTASTTTGTCCACAATCCAACATGAGCGCCATTTCGATCCACTCCAATAAACATAGTAACGACCCTCTTTGGACTCCTAATCTTAGTAAAATCTCGCAGCTGAGCCTTCTTCCGTTATAATCAACTGCAGTCTGCGCTGTTACTGTTGTTTTTAAGAAATCTGTAATCTGTGTCAAAGAAGATAGACCCAGGTCGGGTATTTTAGAGTCCACTGATAATGACAGTGGTGGGAGAGATGACAAAACGGACATAGCTGTGGCCAAAACATCGTTACACAATGTCCCTTGTCCGTTGCACCACGACTGACGTAGAAGCGAAAAGAGTAGAGAAAGCCCTGTTTTGATTCCCATTTCTATTAGTATATCTTTACCGCTGATAGCATCACTCGGCTTCGACTTTGTTTGACTTTGATCTCGGGAGTTGTAACCAGTGTTTGAATAAAAAGTCTGTTTTCCTTTGTTGTGAAATTTTGCAGAAACAGCGCAAAAAATCCTTTGTAAAATTGCAAGACGACGTCGTAGAGTCGAATAAAAAGGTGAATCTGAGCTGACAGTCCTTGCTAACGTTAACTGGCTCGACAACAGATCGTTCAAGTACTGATCTTGCTCATTTAAAGACGCTATCCCTCGTTCAAAATCTGGCAGTAAAGGTCCTCGAAGTTGAAGAGGCGATTGAAGAATAGCAACGGCCTCTTTGTTCGAAAGCAGCTTTTCATACATTGAGATAACTCCTTTTCGTGTMACTACAGCTTCAGAATCCTCATTCGCCCATGCAGAGTCAAAGTGGTCCAGCCAATTCAACTTGAGTGACGAGCTAGCGGCAGCCATTTTGTCCAAACGTTAKTTCAAAACAAAACAGTTTTTCTTCATTTAAATGTGGTTTACAACAACCTATACAACTAAAATGGTTTTAAAAATAAACATAAAACTTTTTTCTTCTTTCCTTTACCCATGTCCTTGTTTTAACAAAGGACACAGGATAATTTTAAGGAAAGTTTACGCCAAATGCTTGGCAAAGTCCACTTGTCTCTACTGAATATTTCGCCATTTTGAATGACACCGCAATGGCTCATGGGAGCATATTAATATGAATAATGTGGGATTCCTGTGACAGATGTTGATTGACAGGACGATCCTATATCTACACACTGCTCAACGGTTTTTGAATGATAAAAATTACTCAYCGACTTGATGGTCTAATTTGCTCTACATGGATTGAATCCTACCCTCCCTCAATATTTTTGCTGTGCATTTTAATAGAAATTCTTTACAGTTCCAACAATACTTTGTTTYTTTCTTTGTCTACATTCTTTATCAATGATTATTTATATATAAATATTTTAGTATAGACCACAGTCGCATCATAGAAAATGGATATTATAAGAAAAGGTCTTTAAGATTATATAAAGCGCTCTGTAGGTTAAATGTGGCTCGCGTCAGTCCCCGGCGGTCCCCTCGGCATGCACCGGAAAGAAATCATAAGTTTTAAYTTTTGAGTACATTTATGAAATCAAGTAAATCGCATGTAATATCRTACCTAATTCGCACTATACTCCGTGTGTACAATTTATTTTTCGATGTTTGTTTCCTAGTTCACTAGTTTGTTTACACGTTTGAAGTTGTTAAGGTTYTTTGTCATTATTTCGCTTATCATTTAAGATATATATAATTCAAGGACAAAAATATAAAATGTTTAATATGAAATAAAAYTTAAAAACGTTTTCGACTAAAAGTGATCATCAGTTAATGGTTTTTGTGACGAAAGACTTATTGGGCCTCTCGTTACAATGTCACCTTGTTGAGTGACCGAACCGTAACCATCCACTTGTAGCAGGCGTTCCTTGCGAGTCCTTTAAAAAAAATATGTTAACAGTTGAAAAGAGAAAGTCTATAGAGGAAAAAAAACAACAGCAAAGAAAATAAAAGCAAAAGAAAAAAAGAAAGAAGAAAAGAAAACAGGAAACAGGAAACAAAAGAAAAAGAAACAAGAAACAAAAAAGAGAACTTCCAGCAGCAGGATTCGAACTCATGACTTTCACTTTAGGAAAAGATGTACTACCCCGGAATATATAAGAAATAATGAAAATAAAAAAACTAAAAAGATGGGACGATTCCCCCGAGACATWCTATGAAGCTGAGGCGKCGAATCGGCTTACGTTACGGTTAGAGATTTCGGCCCTTCCACGCTATCCCGAGTAAACATAAAACTTAGTCTTAACCAAAAGGCCAGGGAGTGAGGGGGTAGCCGCCCACTAGAGCATACCTGTAGCTACCCTCTTAGACCATCGTACTATGAAGACACTTATAGATATCTAATATCTAATTGGGGTAGTCTATTCGGTGAAGTTCTTTGCAAATTTATGACGTCACGAAAATCCTTAGGGATCAGCGAGCCAATCCGAGCTCAGCTCAGGAATGAGCAAACGGTACAGGGTTTGCATAAGCATTCTTCAGTGGATTTATTATTTGATGGGGGGTGGGGTAAGTGCCGAGTGCTGGTTTGCGGCCGAATACCGATGTACTCGATGAGCTGTGACGCCTTTTATCGAGCGGTTCAACTGTCGTTATTGTTTTCCAAATCATCGCAGGAAAAGATTTACACATCACTTTTTTAATTCTTAACGTAAGTGGTTTACAGACCAGATACATAGCATAGCATATACATGTACTAGCTGTTGCCAAAGATTTCGGCCGGGATTCTAAAACTCCAACATTACACTAGAACGTTCCACATTTTCGTTTAACACTGCCGTGTTAAAATCTCTTCAAGGGAAAACTGAATAATATCTCCTTAGAATGACAACAATGTCAACAACCACATCAATAACAGCAATGACAACAACAACAACAACATGAACAACAACTTTGAAAACAACTTTAAAGCCAGGAAAACGACCAGAGCAATCAAAAGCATGATAGTGATTTTAATGAGTAAGTGGTGTCTTTATGATATAAAAAAAGTTTAACTTACAAATGGGTTAATATTAATTATCTAATAATCATTAAATGTAAACATATCGAATGTTAGCAATTGAAGAGGATCAATGGCTAAAAAAATACAATTTTGAATCAAATGCTCTGCTTGGGTTGCCTGTGGCGGACGTAACTCTATGGGTCTCAGAAGCACGCAAACTGTCCCACCACGGTAAGGTGGTAATCCCTTAGGGTCAGAACGCCTTCCCTTTTCCCGGATTTATACGAAAARGATAGAGAGACTACAATGTAGGGTGTTAACTAATTTAATTACGTCATCTCTGCAGCGTAACGTAATGATTACGTATGGACGGATTATGCGTATCGTCACTGCTAGCGTTAAACCTTTATAATCGCTACGGACGCAAATAAATAAGTCTATGGATAAGCGGATTATAGCAATAAAGTTATTATAAAATGAGACGCGTCCTGTAGTTTGATAAAAGGGCGTATTGTCAAGGGCTCTATTATGAGTGGTAGACTGACGCACTCGACGTGTAGATTATAATATTATTAAATTCATATCAATTTTAGATATAATCGAATTCTTTGATGATTAAACTTGCTCTTTTGCATCAGACAATCACCCAGAGGAAAGGGTTATAACATTTTGAGTAGAAATCTGCACAGGAAAAAACAACACACAGAGTCAATCTGTGAAGATCACAATCTTATCAATCTTATATATAGCTAAAATCGTCCCAGACATATCTAACCTCAATCAGTTGTCGTGCGTTTTGTCTGTGACAGTAATTTATCTTCAAAACGACAGTCGAAAGTTTAATATTTAAGGATTACACACCAAGTATGATTTATTGCAGCATAAAAAAATAGCAGAAAGTTTCAACAGTGGCTTGCTAGAGCACATGGCTGCCGCCCACGAAGTGCTTTGCTTGGCATTAATCCTCTCATAGATTACGTAACTTTCTTGCTATGTAGTTATATATAAGTAGTTTTGAAGAGAAAAACGTAAGTGGGGCTTTTTTTCTAGTGAATAGTCGCGCGCCCTTTGGATAGTTCCCTGTAGGTGCTAACTTACTTAAGGAATAAAAAAACAGTTTTCCGTGTATTATACTCTGATAAAAACACGCGGGATGTGGGGAGAACACGAGAGAAGCTTCTCGAGTGTTCTTCTCTCCACATCCCAMGTGTTTTTTATCAGAGTATAATACACGGAAAACTGTTTTTATTGCTTTTATAAAATAACAAGCGCTCAAATATTCATGAGAAAAAAAAGCCGAGAAAAAAGTGACGCGAGCGTGTATTATCACTGGCTCTCGCATCAAATACGGCTTTTTGGCCAATCAGAGCGCGCGTAATATGAAAGTTATCAATTATAAAATGAGATACTTGTGAAGCTTRCAATCGTAACTACTTATGAAGTTAACTTGCTTACATATGTCTTGATAGTTCATGCGGCAGTCGTCCTSTTRTTTACTGACCCTCAGGAGTTCATGGAGCGCAGGGAAATTGTAAGGACATTTKGTGCAAAACGAGTGACAGACGTATAATTTCAAWATGTCTAGAGTAATTACTGTTCCGTATTTTACTTTCTGTTGTMAAAAATTAGCACTTCTTTACTGCTGACAGAAAGTTTAGGTTGAAAAGACTGTAATTGATCAAAGGCACGCATGGCAGGCGACCTTGAAGKCAAAGTGGCGCCAACAAGAGTTGGCTGCAAGTATCTTGATAATTACCTACTCTAAAAGTTAAAAACAGCAATTTGTACTCRTCCATTATGTCGGCAAGAGTCAAGCATATCTTGAATCRAATAAGAAACAGAAAGASATCKCMATGATAYTACGCAGAACGGATGGAAATTTTCCGCGCTTCTCGAAGTGGAAGCTGCSAATTYTATTGATGTCGGATTTCATTTTCAGTCATTTTGAGCAATTTTCCATGTCTCAGACTAATAAATAAAACTTGCACTTGTAACGTGAMTGAGAGGAGGAATGATAATCCCCAAAGATCGATTAATTGTTCTCCAATGTTTAGATCATCTATAAGGTTGTACTTATCAGTTATATTTCGAATTTCCTATCGCATTATTGTAAGTAATACTAAATTATAATTATAATTATGATGATGATGATAATGATGATAATATTTCTCTTCTGTTTAAGTTGGCCTGGCTTTTACCCATACACGGGCTCATTGCAGTGAAACCCAGTTGGTATTAAGTGAAAAATGACCATTTAACACAATGCGCAAAGTCCGCTTTCCCAAATGTTTGGCCACAGAAACCACATGTGTGGCAGAATGCAGAGAATGCATGTCCAAAGGGTACAACAAGCTTTTGTTTTCAGTTAACCGCCAACGCGTGACATCGAATGCCAGATCTTTCCCAACTTAATCCTACAATATCAAATTGTTCAAAAGTGCCTGAAGGTCCAAATAATTGCTGTTTTTTTATTCTCGTTTTTTATTTTGAAAGAGATGTGGTTTCGAATGTCGGACATCGGTTAATTTTGATTTATTGCGTTCAGGTGGGCAACTTTGAAACACAGAGAATGTTTTTGTTTTTTTTGTTTCATTTTGTGCAGGAGATCTCGATCAAAACCGACAAAATATAATTCTTCAATGGTGAATCTTTTTGCTTCTCTTTAAAATAGATATCGTTCCAAAAAGATATTCAAAAGCTGATTTTTTAGGCATTCCCGGAGAGCAGATTTTTTAAAAAAAATATGCTTAGCAGTTAAGAAATGGTAAAAACCGGATTCATTTTTTTCGGAATATTTATGATACCAAAATCTTATTATAATCACAAGTAAAGCCGTAAAGGCCTTATTGKGAATATCTAACTATTGCAGATATAGTTAATATGCAGTTTTTGACTATATATATCCTATAGAAACCACGCTAGCATTATTAAAACGCCTCATTCTTTTTCAGATGGAGCCATGACATTGCAGGCTCGCAAAATCACTTAAAATTAAGGTTTAATTATATAAAGACAGAGGCAGATGTTTAATGGCTCCAGCAGTCTTTAATACTGTTTTACAACTTCCATTTACGCACGCTATGAGAACACATTAACCCTCACTTTAGTATAATAAGGAGCGAGACCCATTTTACATTTAATAGTGTACAAGGACAAACGGGCCATAAAACCTTCCATGCCAGATCACGWAACTACAGTATATCATTACATTTTGATCTAATTTTATCTACGCGGACGCTAATCTGCTTTGTTTGCCTGAAAAGCTGTTCTAAAAAAACGCCTCTAGTTTGAGCTCGAAGCTTCAAGATAGATTGAAAGACGTGATAGTCTTCAATATGCAAATGTACACTAAAAGTGTATATGGATATTGTACACTTCAAGACGTCAATCATCGTCAGATCACTATAACCTTGCCTTAACTTAGCCAGAGGCTAGAAGATTCGTCTAATAACCCAAGTACTCTTATTTGACGCGTCTACGTGCACAGTGCGTTTTTCGTTTTATGATTCACATTTTTACACTTACTTCAAGWCCGGGACCAAATTCTGAAGAGCGTGAACACGAGTCAGAGATCAAAAGATGGATGGTTTTGAGGTGGTTACTGTATTTCTTTTTCTTTTGATGTATGTTAAAGGTAATTATACATAAATAGACTCTATGTATTCAGCTATTTGTTGACAAATATGTCATTTTCAAAGCSGTAGTGCCTGCAAAAGTGAGCTACCATTTTTTTACCATTTTTGCAGTTCATTTTTATCATAAGACATATCATTATTATCATTTTACGGTATAATTATACAATAATATCAGTTTTATCGAGCACCTTATAATTCCCTATTTCAATGACTAATTTTAAACTGACTATTATTTGAAAGAGATTTGCTGGATATCCTGTCTTTTCTGGAATAAGCGGTATATATATGTACTGATGTTTGCAAAAATGGTTGGATATCGGAAGATGGTGACCTCCTGGAACAGATATCCCCTCATTGTATCAACATTCATTATATATATCTCTAAAAAAGGATAGCTAATACTAGATATTTCGTTTGATTATTAGAATTCACTAGAAAAAGGACGAATAAATTGCGTCAAAACACTTCTTGGTTGGTTAGCAAAATTTCTGTAGAAACCCATAGATACTTGGCACTTGCAAAGTATACATCACGACCAAAAATTGCCGATAGGGTGAAATTCTCATTTTCCATTTCTTTTGCGTTTGCTGCTTTATAAACAATCATAATAATATATAAATCTAGATCTATGAATGTATGAAGTGTTTGACTTGTTTTGAAGTAAAAATGAGATCGTTTGTTGTGTTTTTCAAGCTCAATACTCATTACCAACTTAAAATGAAACTTCTCTCACGTCATGTTCAAGTTGTTTTGAGTGGCTGGCGAGCCAAGCAAACAAACTCTCCGTAAAAAAGTTTATTTTACGTAACAAATTTACCGATAAGCTACTAGTCAATAGGTAAAATGCTTCTTCCTTAAGTGACATTTTTTTTGTCTAGAAGACTTAAAGTTATCTCTATATTAATTGGAAAAGGAAACTGAATATTGGCCTAAATTCTTGGGAACATCTTTCCATTTATTTATCTATTACTTTCTTTAAATAAAGTGGGCTTAAACATGCGTAATGTTGACTATTTTTTTAAGATTGCGACTTAATCGTGACCTTGTCATAGAAAGCATATGGAATTTGGATGTCAAGTGCTAGAATGATATGTGGAAGACAGGCTTTTTCACCTTTCTTTAACACAGGTCGCTAGTATGAGCATTAGCCGCACCATAGTTTAGTAGATAATTTGTTGCAGAACTTAATTGTAATCGACCTAAACTGTGGTAAGGTGTTAACAGTTATACGAATTGTAACAACTCCGCAAACCTGAATGTTATAAAACGAATTATGATATTTTACAAATGGAAAGCAACTGAATTAGGAAGAAAAACAAGCTCATTTTTGCAGTAATAAGTAAAGAACCTGATTTGAAAAAAATTGTTTTTACGTCGGCGTTAATAACTAAAAGAAAAACCTTTGCGTTTGCAAACCTGAATGCAAACACCTCAAGTATTTTGTTTACTTTTTTAAATATCGAGGCTTATGTGGTAAGAAATCATTATGCAAGATTTCAGATTGCAGATTAGGCAACCAAAAGTTGCAGCAATCTCACGTCTGCTGGGATATTAGTTTAAGCCAAAATACAAAAACAGTTTTTATTAATTTGATTGTCAGCATAATTTGATTTGATATTACATTAACAAAGTAGTTTGGATTTCTATGTTTATGTTTTGTTATTTTTCATCTTTTGTGTATTTCATTTTGCATTGCTGTATATGTTGCTATTTTTTGGCGAAAAAAACAAAGTTTCCATTCAGGAAGCTTGTCATTTTTGTTACGGATTATTTTTTTTAAGTTTATTAAAAGTTCGAGTTTGTTGGCAAAACCCCCTGCCGCTTCTTTCGATATAYGAAAAAATTGTATCGTAAAAAAAATCTTAATTGCTCTTCTGCAAAATGCACTCGAAGATTCCAAGGTTAGGTTTTATAAGCCAAGGAAAAAGATTGAACAGCAATTTAAAGGRAAAAACATTTAAGTAATAGATAGTAATATTTCATTAAAACATCAAGTTTTAAAGACATCAAGATCGAGGGCACCTTTCTTTAAAGACAGCAGTAATATTTGATATGTAGTAATTACAGTATGGATCCATTAAATTTGACTTGCAAAACTGAAGATAAGAAAAATCCATACGAGTATARTACTAAAATATGTATATTTTTGTTGTCGTCTTTTGCTTGAAGCAGTCCATCCAACATTTTTTCATCATATGGCATTTTGTTTTTCCATTTAAAATGGTAATTGCAAGAAGCTATACACATTACTTCGCCCTAATTTCCTTATCTTACACTTCTTATTTCCTTTCTCATTTCTCGGTCATTATTAATATCATTGTCATCCTTCATTTATATAAGTCCACTACGAATTCTATTCTATAAACATTATTGAACTAAATTGGTTGTGTCGTTCCAAGAAATATCATCAACTATCTCCATTATATATATATATTTATTTCTTTGTTTAATTTTTTTTCGTTTGTCATCACAATCCAATCGGGTGATATCGTACGATGTTAACTGTTTCAAGGTAACGCCCAATGCTCTTTAACCCATTCAGCTATTAAGCTTAGCAAGACCATCTCCGACTCTTATCACTATACTTACGATTTGTGGTTAAGACTTAATACTGTTATCACTAAAGAAAGTTGATTTCTAAAACCAACAATCWACACAGCTGTGTCCGCAATCCCTTTTTTTGCTCGTTAAAATTAAAGTTGCACAAGAACAGCTATTGAAATATTCTTTAAGAGGGTTTATAAAGCGGCCACAATGCGTTTTGATATCTCTCGCTTTGCTTTCAGTGGCTTTCTTAATTGCGTCCTCAGTAGATTTTGRACTGATAGATTAATAGATAAATGAGTCTGTTTTTATTGTTACAAAGGCACAKATTTACGCATTAGGAAGTACACCCTTATGATTTAATCCCACCTTAATTTCCTTGTCTGGCCATCGTGAGCCAAGATTTCTGATTTAAGCCTAAGTGCTAAGTCGTAGATAAACTTTATTGAACTTTTGATGTTCTCGGGCAACTGTTTTCATAATCAGACGAGATTAACATTTAGAAATTGACGGCAAGTTTTCATAAAAACTCGGAAAATAGAATATGGAGTCAGAGAATTATCATCTGAGGTCCGCTTCGTTCTGAACTGATACAAATAGCTCATGAATCATTAGCAGTTTTGGGGGGTAAAGCGACCGTACGTACTTGGAGTGTTGAAAGAACACACTCTTAATGTTTCTGTTTTTTATAATGTATCAATTGGATTTAAATTCTTAAGATTTCTTCTTTTTTTTGCGTATTTCAGCTAGTGAAATTCAAAGCGATGATCATCTTCGACTGTTGAAGGATTTAACGAAGAATGCAAAGCTTGAAAAAGAAATTATTCCCACTCAAGGTGGTCCCGTCAATATCACTCTAGATATCGCATACAGCCAACTGGTAGAAATGGTAATGTTACTCTAATTCTACCATGGATAGAAGGTAGASGAGAGGACAAAAGAGGATGAGAGAACTTTAGGGAAAGAAATCCTGAATAAAAATTAGGTAGAGAAGAAGGAAAAAGATGGAAAAAAGGAGGATAACAAATGAAGATTTAGTAAAGATACCAATGGAAATTGAGAAAAAAAAAGAACAATGAGAAATGAARTGAAAAAAGGGAGGATCGAAAAGAAMATTTCTTTAACGCTTTGTMAATCCGTTCTCAGGAGTTCTACGCTCTGATCTAATTCAAAGWCTRTAATTTRAATTTCACAGGACAGTAAAAACCAGATTTTATCAAGCTATATCTGGGTACGCCAGGTTAGTAAAAAAATGCTAAATACTGCAGAACACGTTATCAACATAACTAGTACTTTGGACTAAATATGGTCTGCCCATTTGGTCCRAATTTCCAACCACAATCTCTGTATTCTCTTCTTGTCTCTCTATAGTACTGGGCGAACCCGAGACTTAAATGGGATCCTGCCAAATATGGTAATATAACCACTACGCATGTGCACCCAAAATCAGTCTGGTTACCGGACATTGTGCTGTACAACAAGTKAGTGAACTTCATTTTGAATCCCTATTACACCAATGTCCCCACCCCCACCCCCTAATGACGTCATGTTGACGAAATGCRTCATGGTATTGAAAAACGAATCTATTAATATGGCGAATGTCATATAAACTATGGAGGATGAAGTTTCTCATTTTCCTGTGTATTTAAAGTACAATGTCGATGGTGATGCAGAAGAAAGAGCTGTTGGAGAAATACGTTATGCTTGTCGCACGAAATAGCAAAACAMACAAACAAAAGAAATTGTATAAAGACATGATACGGCAATATATACCCGCAAGTTATCTGAGAGTGGGTGCCCCCCCTCCCTGGATGCAAACTTGTTCTCTTATGCACTACGGATATTTTGTTAATAAATCKTATGTTTTGTTTGATTTCCAGCATAAATGATGCCACCATCGGGCAACTGTACAACTTTGACACAAAAATCATTTTATTCAGCGATGGTAGCATTCAATGGTTCGCACCGACGCTCATCAAATCGATGTGCAAGATCGACATCACGTATTTTCCGTTTGATTATCAGCATTGTACGTTGAAATTCGGCTCTTGGGCTTTCACTACACAGTTCTTGAATCTTCAAGTGACAGASGATGAMCCAGACCTCTCAAAGTACACGCGCAATGGCGAATGGGACTTGAAAAGAATGGTGAAGAAACGAAACGTCGTTCGTTACAGCTGTTGTAAATGGCCTTATGTAGATATAACGTACCATATTTATATCAAACGACGACCAATGTTTTACGTACAGAATCTTATAATTCCGTGTATTCTGTTGGCTACTTTGTCAGTCCTCTCGTTTTCCCTTCCTCCTGGGTCTGGTGAGAGAATTGCAATGATGATCACCCTTCTACTTGGACTCACTGTATACATGTTGATCTTTACGGAAAATATTCCAAAGACTTCTGAAGTGGTACCACTTATAAATAAGTTCTTTGTCGCGATTCTTTTCGAGAATTCGTTGTGCCTTCTTGCAACGTCGCTGACTCTTCAAGTGTACCATTACCACGATCCTGAGCAAGAACTTCCAGCATGGCTGCAATTTTTAATCTTTGACTTTTTGGCAAAATTACTTCGTATGAGGATGGTAGAAAAACGTAACAATGTTCCAAGACAAGGGATTATTGAAAGCCCAATACTTTCTCGAATCCACACTAAGTGTAAATTCTGCAATATTGCATCGAATGGATCAATCTACAGGGTGTCTATCCCAAAAGATCTCACAGAAGAGAAACTAAACAGCATAAACACAAAGCTCGATACTATTAAKAGCTCTTTATCCTCGTCTAAGAACGAGGAACAGTGGCATTTTGCGGCCATGGTTTTGGACAGATTTTTCTGCATCGCCTTTGCTGTCGTTATCTTTATTTCACTTTTGACATTCTACCTCATGATTCCCAACAAACCCACAAACTGAAAAGAACTTATCATAACGCTTATCTCAAAGAACTGTCACAAAAAATTTATAGTTTGAAAGTGGCACTGCTCAAGGGTTTAAGTTTCCGACAGGGGTACCCATGATGGAAATTTAAAAACCAAGAGACATAAAATGCAGAGCATATAGACACAAAGTTGTGCAAAGGGCGGGGTTCAGCATCCTCCGGATCTGTTACAGCAGTATTATTAGTGAGTGTGAATCCAACAAATCAGGAATTTCTTAAAAACACTGGAAAAAATCGCGCACTTTAAAGGTTGTAAATTTGATGTAAATATGATGTAAGTGTCCAAAATTCTGTAAATTTAATGGAAATCATTTACATAAAATTTACAGAATTTTGGACACTTACATCATATTTACATCAAATTTACAACCTTTAAAGYGCGCGATTTTTTCCAGTGAAAAAAGCGTGATAGTCCTCGCGGATTTTGTGGATATGAAAAACTGCGACTGGAGGACTGCATATTAAAAACACCATTGTGCTTTTTAATCAATTTGTTCTAGAAAATGACGTAGCCCGCGCTGATTGACAGTCAGCCGATGTAGAGTTAATTCTGGGGCCTATTTTACGAAAGGGTGGGTAATATCATCTTGAAAACAACTATACTTCGTAGTTTCCTAAGCCCAAAACCTACTTACAACAAACACTAATTTATATTTCTGTAAGTGAGGTTTGAATAAAATGCATCTTGAGTCAGGTTGATCCTACGACGGTTTGCTACTCTTAAACAGTTTGTGCCATTCGAGCAAAAGCACTTGAGCAGCAGGGTGTGAGCAATTTTTTTCATTTATAAGTTACTTACTACACATTTCACCTAGTTTGTAAAATTTAGGACATGAAAACAGTTGTCTCCTGTGTAACTTATAAATAAAATAAACAAATGTACACACCTTGCTGCTCATTACTAATTACATTTTGTACATTCATAAAACCCTTGTGTATTGCTCTTTGTGTCAAATAAACTGTTCTGGTTCAGCGATAACGTCTATTAGTCACTAAATACCGACTAATAGATACATGTAAGTAACTAGTTTGTTTTTATTTCATGATTCAAGTGCTTTTGCTCTATTGAAGATTTCTTAAAATGCGCGGAACGCTGACATGTAAGAAAATATAAAGTAACGAATTATCTAGTCCGCATAATGACAACATGCCTCATATTTTCCCATAGTAACTCAATATTGCATTTATTCATCGATCATGTTACGTGGTATGACCCATATTCAGTCGAGTGCGCTCAAATATTCAACAAACGATTGAAGAGGATAGCGTGTACGGAGCCGGATATCGATACGGAATCGCTGTTTAACTCCTGCACGCGTCTTGCATATGAAAGTCGTTAAGCATCCAAAAATAGCTATATAACAAAAMACTTATTGATTTAGTTATTCCGGGCCAGACGGCTCGGTCTGTACGCCATACCTTAGAGCTATAAAAATTGTCCCGGCCCTCCCACTCAGTCATGGTCAGTCAATTATAAGATACGTCGGATTATAGAGCCTTTGTTTCATTATGAGAAAATTAGAATGGAACCCCATCTGGGACCCGGTTGTGCGAGCGTTATATAACGCTGACCACCTACAAACCTATATATGACGACATAGCTCTCGAGGGGTCACTGAAACATAAACTGCTCCACCGCGGTGTGATGTTGACCCATTTCTACCCGCCTTTCGCACTGAAACAAGCTATGAATGCTATGAGAGTTATGAGTACACTGGAAGAAATCGCGCGCTCTAAAGGTTGTTAATTTGATGTAAATATGATGTAAGTGTCCAAAATTCTGTAAATTTAATGGCAATCATTTACATCAAATTTACAAACTTTTGGACACTTACATCATATTTACATCAAATTTACAAAAAAAATTACCTTTAAAGCGCGCGAATTTTTTCCAGTGATATAGTTTCCTCATCGAGCTTCATCAAGATTTCTTGTAAGTTTGAATCAAATTCTTCTGTTTTTTTTAAATATATTATTTCTCCATTAATAATTCTTTTCACTTAAGGAAATCAAGTACCAATAAAACTGAATATCTTGACTTTATTGTCCAAGACAGCATATCCTTAGACTGAAAATTAGTTATTGTGGCTGAGTTACAGTGCCATTCATGCATTATCGCAGGGAGCCCAAGTAAGCGACTGTTGGTCCCCGCAAAAACAACTCCAGATTCACAACCAGACTCATTGCACAATCGCCAGATTTATTTATCATTATATTTTCAACAATTCTCTTATATATGATGCAATTATATGAAAAAACAAAATTATTGCTCGTTCCGAAGTGCCTGCATGCTCCGACATCGCGAAATGAAGTGACAAGTCGATTGTATACTATGCCGAGCGGCGAAGAAGCTTTAAATTGCAACTGAATTTGGTCAAAAGGAAGACTATMTAMMCYWWWAWACAGTAAAGTATCTTTRATTAGACTGGATTTACATTCTACTGTGATTTCAATGAATTATTTTGACTCCCGAAAAGTGAAAAGTTTTAAAAGAGCTCACAWCAGCTCAATTTGAAAAAGTACTGAATAAGCCAGACTTTTAGAGCACGAGTTCACCCTGATGTCAGGGTCTAGTTAGCTAAAGTTTAAAGTTTGAGCAAGCTGAAGTTATTAGAAATGTCAGAAGTTATGTACTTCTGGAAATGTAAATAGACGTTTTCAAAAATTTCTAGTAAAATTACAAAGAATGTATGTYWGCCTGGACGCTTTGGCTGGACACCATACATTTCTTTGTAATTTTGKCACACACGRAGTATAGTGCGAATGAGGTATAATATAATATTCTGGTAATTTTATATGCGATTTAATGAATTGATAAATGTGCTTTGAGCAAACGCTTTCAAAAATTAAAAAAATAAGCCTTAAGTGCTGGCCCATGTGAGGGAGCAGCGGTCTGGAGTTTATACTCCTGGTAGGGTCATCCATGCCGAACAGGTCGAAGGGTAGAAGCCTGACTAAGTGTGGTCCACTTTTCCTAAAACAAAACAAAACACACACACGAAAAAAACAACAACAACAACAACAACAACAGCAACGAAACAACTTTTAAGTTATAAATAAACTTTAATAACTTATATTAAATAAACAAGGAAAGACCAAATTAGATGATTAATCTGATATTCCTTGCTATGATCTCTTTAGTAAAGCATCTTGTAGACATGAAAAGATTATTTAAGAAATCATTTTAGAATTTGCCTGATGTATTTATTGCGCTAAAATTAAATTAACAAATATTTCCAATGACGCTTTGATTGCTCTTTCTTGGCAAGGGCAAAAAAAAAACGCTCTTTTCAAAATTATCGGTACATTATTCGATGGACTCAGGCACAGTAATGATCCATGAAAAGATTCCCAATGTATACATTATTCATATGTGAGTACTTACTCATTATAAATATAAATCAAAACACGAGTAAGAACTGAAGTTCTAAGTTGTTGTCAGGGTAGTAACGAGGCATGGAGGAGGTTCACGCAAATTTTTGGATCACAGGGATCCCATATAGGCAATTTTTGTTAGGGATCGCGTTAGGATTAGCCTTTSAGTCGGGCTCAGTGTTTAATAAACAAGATCAAAATGTTTTTATTGGATAAGCTGATATCAATCTTCAACGTTGCCTGTTGCTTTTAAAGAACTCCAGCTTAACTTGTGACCAACCGCTTCCGCCAATAGTTGCATAAATGATACTTTCCAGAGATCTGTTCCATGTTAATATATTTATATCTATATAGTTTTTCGAGCCATTAGACTCGGAATAAATAAATAATTCAATAAGTTTCTTTCGAGCGCCATATGTACTTGTACTTTCAAGTTTGGTACTTGTTAGCGTCCACGATGTATGTGGACAGCGAATGCTTATTATAAATTACGCTCTGGAGCTCATGTCAGTCAACACTGCGTCATTTCTGGTTTTCTCTCTAATCCACGTCTTGACSATGGCCATAGAGAATGACTAAACTTGAGATAAGAAACGTCAATATAAAGAGCCAGAAAAACAGTCGATCTAGAATTGTAATGGCYTCCTTCCACTCCGCGTARAGCCTATCWTCGTGCTCCTTATTMTCAATGTGTTTAACGATGGGTGTGAYGTCAYGYGTCTCGTCCGTTGCTGGCGAGTCTGTAGAKGTCAGTTTTGTTATCCCATTCGTGTTTTTACTCAGAGAGCCGTTTTCGTTGATGTATCCATTTTCAATAATTTCCGCGCTGCTCAGTTTAATATCAKTTCTGTCCTGGCCTTTAGCCTTATTCAGAATAATATCCACGCTACTTTTACGCTTTTTCTTTGTGCATCGGTAACATAACAAACGTCCGAGGTAATCAAATATCACAACTCGCGCCCAATGCGGCAAYTCCGTACCTGGCTGCAAGTGCTGTAGTCTTAGCGGAACACACGTTGCTACGAGACAAAGCGCAACTTCAAAGAGAACYGCCGCGAAGTACTTGCCAATCAAAGGCGTCACTTCCGATGTGGCGGGAATCGCTTCAGTAAARACAATCATAAATACCGTCATGCCTAGCAGCACGGTGATAACCAATGAAATCCTCTCCCCAGTCTCTGGTGGAAACATRAATGACACGGACGTGAGAAGCGCTAGTACAATGCAGGGGAGAATTAAATTGTTCATGTAAAAAAGCGGTCGTCGTYTGATCTTGATTGTGTATAACAAATCAAGGTAAGGATTTGGACAGCAACTGTATTTCTGAACATTTCTCACAGCTTTGGCTGWWATCAGTTCAWATTCGCCGTTTTTGGAGAACGACGATGTRTCTGCATASGATTTATCCTGGTAAAAGCTCAAGTTAAGCTTCCCGCCATCGAAGGTCCACGAACCAAACATGATTTTACAGTATTGAGTATCAAAGGGGAAATACTGAATATCGATTTTGCAGAACGATCGCAGTTTGTTTGGGGATAGCCACTGGATTGAGCCATCGTGCTTGATGACCACCTTGGTTTTRAACAAGTACTGCTCGCCATTATCCTCGTAGTTGACGCTAAAAATGTCATGAAATAGTAGATATTAATTATTATTTGTGTTGGATTTTAATACGTATTCAATTGTTTGCTTTTTAAGSAAAAAAAATATGCTTTAATAATTGCTTTAATCCATGTGTTATGGGCAGATTTCAATGCTAACAATCACGCTTACAGTCGATTCTCAAATCAAGCACTTCTAATTTCATTAATCATGGATTTTTGAAATTATTTTTTGGATTGTTGGCATTGAAATCTGTCCATTATTATAAACTGACACGATATAAATTCATCATACTCAGATTAGACACTTCTTTCATTAGTATCCCACTAGATTGATACTGTACTTCGATGGGCACTCCAGTTTTTGGCAAGAAAAAAAAAATAACTTGGAATGTCACAACATTTTTGGACTTTGAAAAAATAAACACTTACTCGGGCTTCCTGATCTGAAATCCTTTAGCTATTTTAATGATTCCATGAGGTCTAATTATTAAAGTTAGATTCTACTATATGTGCTTTTCAATTTCTAATCGGATGTTTCATTGATTTCGAGAAAAAATAATTCAAACCGCAAAAATAATTTTGGGCATTTCTTAAAGGAAGCCCGAGTAAGAATCTGGATCTTAAAATTAGCCCTTACTCGGGCTTCCTATCTAATTATTTTTGCGTTTCGATTTTTTTCCCTCGGCATTACTGAAACCTCCGATTAGAAAGTAAAAAGCACATATTTGAGAATCTAATCATGATAATTAGACCTCATGGAATCATCGAAATAGCTATAGGATTTCAGACCAGGAAGCCCGAGTAAGGGTTTATTTTTCCAAAGTCGAAAAATGTTGTAATATTCCAAGTTATTTCATTATAGAAGCGCTCATCGAAGTACAGTATCAATCTAATAAGACGCTAATGAAAGAAAGTATCTAATCTGAGTATGTTGCATTTGTCAACAGATTTCGATGCCAACAATCATTCAGTTTTATGGCAAGGTTAACCTTATTTCAACTGAATTTCTGATGGAAATTATGATCATCATTATGATTAAATGATGTTAAATACGAACATAACTCGTTATTTTTAGCAAACAAACAATGAGCAATTTATGTAAATGGTTTATATTTTTTAACAAACACTTCACACTTTCCTATTCCATCTCTTGTTATATCGCAAATATGCTGTAACTTCTGTTCATGATATTAAATGCAAATTTGTATTTTATCTCAAACATACAGGATTAACATTGTTAAAATTTATTTCCATACATTTTACCATCATCATCGATCGTCACACTTTTGACAATAAAGTTAGCTACAATTTAAAACTATTTAGCATTAGATTAGTTTTGGCTAGATATATTCAAGTCAGTCAAGTGAACATGACCCTGAATTAAGATATATTGATATATCATTAAAATATCATTACGATATGTTACAATAAAAAATCGACTTTATAATCAATGGTAGTAGAGTTGTGCAATTAACGAGTGCATGGTTAGATCGAATTCGTCCGTTTGAAATCATTTATTTATTAATTTATACTGTACGTCCCGTCATTCATCAGTGACATCCCATCGTCCTTCACTGATACATCCCATCATGCTTTGTATCAGTCGAAATGTTTAAGTATTGTTCTTAAAAGCATGCTGCATCTCACTTAAGAATCAAATAAGCCATTCCACAATCCTCCGGTTCACATCCCATCATCCTTCAGTTGGCCTTCCCATCATCCTTCAGTTAACCTTCCCATCATCCTTCAGTTGGCCTTCCCATCATCCTTCAGTTAACCTTCCCATCATTCATCAGTCGACTTTCCCATCATCCTTCAATTTACCTTCCCATCATTCATCAGTCGACTTGCCCATCATCCTTCAATTTACCTTCCCATCATTCATCAGTCGACTTTCCCATCATCCTTCAATTTACCTTCCCATCATTCATCAGTCGACTTTCCCATCATCCTTCAATTTACCTTCCCATCATTCATCAGTCGACTTTCCCATCATCCTTCAATTTACCTTCCCATCATTCATCAGTCGACTTTCCCATCATCCTTCAATTTACCTTCCCATCATTCATCAGTCGACTTTCCCATCATCCTTCAATTTACCTTCCCATCATTCATCAGTCGACTTTCCCATCATCCTTCAATTTACCTTCCCATCATTCATCAGTCGACTTTCCCATCATCCTTCAATTTACCTTCCCATCATTCATCAGTCGACTTTCCCATCATCCTTCAATTTACCTTCCCATCATTCATCAGTCGACTTTCCCATCATCCTTCAATTTACCTTCCCATCATTCATCAGTCGACTTTCCCATCATCCTTCAATTTACCTTCCCATCATTCATCAGTCGACTTTCCCATCATCCTTCAATTTACCTTCCCATCATTCATCAGTCGACTTTCCCATCATCCTTCAATTTACCTTCCCATCATTCATCAGTCGACTTTCCCATCATCCTTCAATTTACCTTCCCATCATTCATCAGTCGACTTTCCCATCATCCTTCAATTTACCTTCCCATCATTCATCAGTCGACTTTCCCATCATCCTTCAATTTACCTTCCCATCATTCATCAGTCGACTTTCCCATCATCCTTCAATTTACCTTCCCATCATTCATCAGTCGACTTTCCCATCATCCTTCAATTTACCTTCCCATCATTCATCAGTCGACTTTCCCATCATCCTTCAATTTACCTTCCCATCATTCATCAGTCGACTTTCCCATCATCCTTCAATTTACCTTCCCATCATTCATCAGTCGACTTTCCCATCATCCTTCAATTTACCTTCCCATCATTCATCAGTCGACTTTCCCATCATCCTTCAATTTACCTTCCCATCATTCATCAGTCGAC